GTGGTGGGCTTGGGAGCCGGGGCCGGGGTCGTGGTCGGGAGACCAACCGGGGTGAAGGGGCAGTAGGTGACATAGCCCGTCTTGGTGACGGTGATGACCTGCGCGGGAGCAGTGTAGGTGCCAGGGGTGATGGTGCTGGGGACGGGGTAGACGAGGACAGTCGACTCCGTGACGGTGTGGGTTGTGGGAGCAATCGTGTAGGTGCCGGGCGTGGGGCAGACGTAGGTGGTCTGGACGATGGTGCTGGTGGTGACGCCGCCCGTGGTCTGGACGGTGGCGACGGGGCAAACAACGGTCGTGGCCGTCTTGACAATGGTGGTGACACCGCCAACGGTGTGGGTGCCGGGGGGCACCTGGGTGGTCTCGGCGCCGCAGACCGTCGTGGTCTGGGTCACGGTGAGGGTGGTGGCGGGGAACGTGTAGGTGCCGGGCGTCGGGCAGGTGCGCGGCTGGGGCGTCGGGAGAGGGACGACGACCACCTCGGTGGTGGCGGGCGGCGCCTGCGTCGGCGTCTGGGTGCGCGTGACGGTGCTGGTCTTGGTGCTCGTGGCCGTGACGGTGGAGATGGGGACGACTAAGGTGGTTGATGTTAGCCAAGTCTTTGTCTTGTCTCTGAGGGCGCGGCGCGGCGCGAAAACAGTGCGAAGGGGTTCAGCACGTACGAGTGGGCTCGCCGGTAATCGTCTTCCAGATGGTGGTGCAGCCGGGGACGCAGACGTCGGCCGTGTCGTTGCCGCGCTTGGCAAAGAGCGCCTCGTGGGCGTGACGGTGGTGAGCGGCGCTGACGCTGCCCGCCATGGCCGCCAGGGCGGCGGCAGCAAACACACCCTTCATCGTGATAGATGGCAGTGGAGTCGTAAACGAAAAAAGAATGCCCGCTGAAAGAGTGAAGCGGTAAGTTGGTTGCGCGGAAGTGAACGAGAGGACGAAAGCGGTTCGGAGAGCGGCTTTCTGTTACGACGTCGGCATTGACGGTTCGTGGAGAGGAAGGGAGGGAGGGAAGGGGAGGAAGACGGCGGATGCGCGGACGGGGAAGGCGGTTATTATTGCTGCAGGTGAGGCCCGTCCTTCATGCGTCCATCTGGGCTCCCCTTGGTCTGGGGGAGCCCGGGCTGGGGCCAAGCCGACAAGGGGGGGACAAGGGTGCCTGCCTGTGCCTGAGCCCAAAGAGACGAAGAGCCTTAGAGCCCACCACCAGGACGAGCCGGGACCCGTGTGCTGAGAAGAGAGCACCTGGGCGCCAGCCCAGCAGCGGAAGCTCTCTCCACTGACCGCCTCTGCATGGGTATGGGATGCCTGCCTGACCTGCCTTCCTGCCTCCGTGCAACCCAACAGGGGGGCCCTCCTTTGCGCCGCCAACCACGACACGACCAGCAGCGCAAAGGGCCGCTCGAGGACACATGGGCACCAGAGGGACGGGCAGGGATGGGCCACCGTCGCCACCGTTGCTGGCTCCCTTTCGCGCTCCGGACGAAGTGCTGACCGCGAATAGGGGCGTGTGGAGCTTGGAGAGGTTAGGTAATTTCCACTGCCTGGCCAAAGGGGGCCGGCTCCGTCGTGGCCGCCGACCAAGGGTGTCGACTCGGGCGGTCGGCCCAAATGAGTGGTGGTAGTGGCCCTGACGAGTGAAATGAAATGGGGCGTGCCCGCTCGCCGCGATGCTGCGCTGCGCAGCCGCCGACTGGGCAGGTCGCGAAGACGCTTGCCGCCGGGAGATGAGGTGCCGTCGCCATCCGCCGTCGCGTCGCCATCGCGCGCTCGCACAAATACATACGCACGCCACGCACGAATCGCCCCCCGTCGTCGCCGTCGTCGCCGTCGTCCGGCGTCCCTTGCTTGCGTCCGCGGCGGGCCTGATTCAAATCCGAATCCAAATCCAAATCCAAATCCATCCGTCTTCCCGTCGTCCCGTCGCGGCCCACGCTAGTCGCCAGTCAGTCTTGCTTGCACACACCTTCAGGGTGAATCAACCAACAAGCCTTTGTTTCCGCAGATCCCTTGCCCCCTTGGGGGCCACGGCCCGGGGTGGGCTGAGCCCATTCTTCCGCCCCCCATCTCCAGTACCTGCGTCTGTTCCTGGTCTTGACTGTATTGGGCCATTGGTGCGACCGTGGCGGCCTGCCCAGCATCCAAGGTCTTCAGCCGCCCCCGAAAGCCACGCATTTGCCGTTCCTCTTCATCTCATCAAATCGACCGAATCGAATCGCAGCTCCACGCACCGCGAACCTCGAGGTGCTGCGTTCTTGGTGCCGTACCGTGCCGTACCGTACGAGCCCCAATCAATCGGGAACCGCGAGCCGGCATCCGATCAGTGCGGGTTGTTTGTTTATCTTCGTCCCCGTCGCCCAGCCTGACGCTCCAGATCCCGAACGGGCCAATTAATTGCAGGATTCCCTCTTCGTCACCACAGCCCCTCTCCTGTCTTGGTCGTCGACGAGGAAGCATGGGCCAGTCGAGGCGCAGTGGCCGACACGCACGGACAAGCCGGAAGAAGAGGGGCGCTGCTTACTCGGACCACTGCCCAACCTGAAAAGGACTCCCGGCCCATCGCCGAAGCAGAGGGTCTCGCCTCCAATGCCAGCTTTCGGCAAAACCCACTGCTAATAAAAGAAACCTGGCTCATCATCTGCATGCTCATCTACATGCTCGTCTGGACGCTCATCGGATGATGGCCCAACTTGCAAATGACAGGTGCCACGGACGAGCGGCCGGCACTTCGCACGCCTCCGTGCGGCTGCCGCTGCAACCTGTGCCCGTTGCGACTCGACGTGAACGCTGAGCAGATCGATCGTTCGCGATGCACATCGGCGGTGATCGTCCTGGAGCCAGTTCGTCCGTGCAGATCTCCAGCCCGAGCTTTCCAGGCCAAGCTTTCCAACCCCGGCGGCTGTTATGGCGTCCCCCGCGAAGCTCGCTGCTGCTCTTTCATCCCTTTCCCCTCAAGGTGCCCACCCAATGAGGCCAGCAATCCAAGTCTGCAAATGATGGGAAATCCACTTGAGTCGCTCTCTCGTATTGCGCGAGTCGGCCAACCCAGCTGCTTCGGCTGCTCGCGATGAAACAATTGCCCTGGTCGCTGATGTGGTCGTGTTGGCTCATCGGCATCGACGTGGCAGGGTCGGACACGGCGACCGCCTACTCGTAAGTGCATTGGGACGCACGAGTCCACGTGTGCAGGACATGTGCGGGACAGCGCCGTGACTGTCCTGCAGGAAGCATCGAAATGGCAAGATTGATCCCGTCACCAGCCCAGAAGAGATTTGCGATAGCAATGCGGTTGGCGGTTGTACGAGTAATGTGCAGATAACGAGCCGAGTCCAAGTCGGCAGTCTGTTTAACCTCGTGCAGTTGCATTCCAGCAGTGGAAGGAGTGCCGACTCGCAGCTTCCATTGCCCAGCTGTGGTATTATGTATTTCGTACTTTGTAAACGGTCATGTGACAGCGCGATCTGCCACTGCTCCACCAAAAATTGGCGCCGGCGACATGGACGCGCGACGACTTTTCGCAATGACCTCCATGGAACTCGTCGAGTTCCAGGCAAGAAGCCGTGCCCGCCATGATTCATACTTCAGGGCGGCCCTTCATATGCCGGCAATGTCTTGCCCATCGCCTGAGCAGTCCGAGGGCGTCGCGCTCATCCGGGACGCCACGCGGGCCAACGTATCCCGCGACTGATAGAGTCTGTGACCCTCTCGCACTTGCGCCCACGACAAGGCCATCCGCTGACGTTGTAGCTTCTGCTGGCAGAAATGGGCGACCAGTCACAGCGTGCCTCCTCCAGCGCCCGCTTACGGTCGCTCAAACATTCCCAAAGCGCCCTCAGTCAAGACCGTTGCAGTCAACCGCGAGCGAAAGCTACCGATTCGCGAGCGTCTTCGGCAGTGGACCGCTGAGCAAGACCAGCAACATGCCCGGGCTATGCCGCCAGACGTTTTCATCTACGGAACCATTGCCAACAGCCTCAACCGGACTCAGACGACTGGTTCATCTGATCTGGACCAGCTCAGGTCTACTGATGCAAGTTCGGCTAACGGCGTGGGCGCCGAACCAGGCCGAGAAGACGCTGAGCTCGCCGTGACCGTCGATTCGAGAGCACCAGGCGATCTTGTGGAGCTCAGGTACGGTTTTGCCGCTCTCTTTGTATTAAGTCGATGTTGACAGCTGATCTCTCGAACAGGCAGAGCGGCTCGCGAATGCCCGTCTTTGCGGTATATCTTGGCTTCTTTGGCGACAGGAACCACTTCTATGCTGTCAATGGCAAATGGATCACTAGCATGGGATTCACGTCCTTGTTCACAGTGGCCAACTTTGCGACGCCCTCCGAACTCGAATCTGTGCTTGCCAAGATCCCGAAGAGTGCAACGCCAGAGGACTTTGACGAGCTCCGACGAAGTGAAAGGGGCCCTTCTCGGGAGGACGGTATTGTGTTGATTAACAGGATGAACGACTTCCGCAGAAAGTCCGAATCGATATACCAAACGAATCTTGCGAGGCTGGACGGCGCTCGCACGCTGCTTTCTAACTCTCGCAATGTCAAGTATCTCAGCTTGTTTGAGATTGCGGATGTACTCTTGCCGGCGACTCTCAAGGGCGAGCACGGCTTTCACCCTCCCGCGCTTTATGCTGTGCATACCGCCCTATACCGCAATGAGGTGGGGTTTGTGCCCTTGAGCCCCTCCAGCGATTGCCATCGCCGTGACCACCTGTTCGAGGTGTCTCCGCAGAATTTTACAAACATCATCAACAGGATCGCCATGATGGTGCGGGAATACACAGACGCCAGCGCGAAGCGTACGAGGCCACTTCGCCCGGCTGAGCTGGAGGAAACGACGCTCGGCCAATTTGTCCTGCAAGCACGAGAGGCAGTCTCTCGCAGTCGTCAGCAGCGTGAGTGGACGCCTCACGGCATCCTCAAAACGTCGTCTGGAACCGACCTGAAGAAGGTGGACTGGACCCAGCCAAGCAAGGATGTAATCACGTTCTTGGAATGGTGGGCGAGCTACGATCTGTTTGACGCAGGCTCCCGGTTCCACTCCTACGGCGCCCTCATCCTGCGAGCGCTGGGCCTTTACCAGGATGCGTCGCTTGACCAAAGCACTGCTTGGACTTTTCTCCAAGAGGTCGGAGTCATCGCACCTTGGGAGATACTTTCGCGCTACAGAGTACGGTTCCCCAACGTCACAATAGATAGGGGCGGAGGTCTCGTGCGTGACCAGCCAAAGGACCTCGAGCAGTCCATGCGGCCAGACATCGCAGCAGACGCAAGGAGGCAGCAGTCTGGCGCCACGATCTTCTGCATCGACGCCCCGTCGACAGTGCTCATAGACGACGGCGTTTCTTTGGAGTATACCGACAAGGCGGACGAATTCTGGATACACATCCACGCAGCGGACCCTGCATCAGCCATTGCACCAAACTCGGAGCTCTGCAAGTTCATGGAGCTCATCCCTGAGAATATCTATCTCCCCGGACATTTTCAGGCCATGCTGCCCTCGGAGCTCGCCGAGGAGGATTCCAAGGACTACGGGTCTGAGAGCCTCACTACGAGATTCTCACTTCGCTCTGGAGGGCCGGCTCTCACGTTCAGCGCCAAGGTCAACGATGCTGGCGACATTCTGGACCAGAAGATCGAGCCTAGCGTCCTCGACAAGGTCAAATACTTGGATCCTGAGGACGTCTCGTCGTTTTGCAGCGAGCCTTCTCCTCCACTCTCTCATGGTTACCATCTGTCGGTAGGAACACGTCCGACCCAGGAACAAGCACTGCCTGCACGCCCCATCATAGCGGCTAGGAATTTGGAGACCACTGAGCAAAATGATCTCCTGACGCTGTATCGACTCGCCGAGGCGATCAAGCAAAAACGGTTATCTAAAGGAGCATGGCCTTACTTCTTCCCCAGACCTTCAGTCTCCGTGGCGTTCAACGAAGTCGCGCGAGGCGATTCGGCACAGCCGGCGACGCGGCTCCCCGCGGATCCGTACATCGAAGTTGGACAAGAGGCGTCCAACGGCTGCTCTGTTGTGGCAAATTCGATGGTGCTGGCTGGACACATCGCCGCGCGCTGGTGCTCGTCACGTGGGATACCAGTTCCATACCGTCGGGACATGAAGACGGCTCAGAACTTCGATGCTGCCTTTGAGTACGCGACAAAGGAGATATATCCTCTCATTCGGGAAGGCATCGAGCCGACCCCAGGGCAACGGCAGGAGCTGTCCAGGCTGACTGGGGGTATCGAGATCTCATCGCAGCCAGGTCCATACTTCTTGCTCGGGTTGGACATGTACGCGAAATCCACGTCTCCACTTAGACGCTTCTCGGATCTCCTCGTTCACTGGCAGATTCACGCTGCACTGGCATATGAACGTCGGATGAATCGTGCTATAGACCCGGCGGTGGACGACATTGGAAAGATTCTACCCTTCACCAGTGCCGAGCTCAGCAATACCTTGCCGCTTCTGCAAATGCGCGAGAAGATGGCTAGGGCCGTGTCCCGAGGAACATTGGATTGGATCCTCATCGCCTTGGTTAGAGCGTGGCGATTCGAAGGCACGGCACCGCGAACCCTCCGATTCAAGGTTGGCTCCCGTTGGCGCCAAGGCCTCCTTGGGCGCCTCGACATGTTCGATCTCAACGCAGTGCTGGACATTGCCGGGCTGGACGGCGTGCGCCTCATCAAGGACGTGCAAGTGGGCGACGAGTTCGAGGTGGAGCTCGCCGACGTCAACGTGCACTCGAGGCAGATCCTCGTCCGGGCCACGCGATACCTTGGTGGGGACAGCAGGTGTCACAGTCGCGCTCAACCTGAGCAGTGGTCGGTGAACCAGCAGCCGAGGCCCACGCTGACGACAGGGCCGGGCGCATGACCGTCATAAGAGTGGCTTGGTGGAGAGCATCGAGCGCCGACCCACGATGGGGCCAGCCAGCCTCGTGCGCGCGTGTCGTCTGATTCGCTCCCCCGCATTCACTACCCCAGACTTTCCCCGTCCGCCCGCCTGACCGTTCCACAACGCCCTGTTGGGGAGCCCCAACAGTTTCGCGTTGCCTTGTCCGCCGCCGCCGCACCGACGACAGTCTTCGGGTTTGGCTGCTGGGCTAGAGGAGGGATGGGGTGCGTGCGCGCGTCATAGGGGTCCACGCTGCGTCTTGCCTGCCTGCTGCCGGGCGCAGTAACCGCCCCGACCCGAGGCGTCGCCCGGGTCTCGGATGCAGCAAGCCACGCCATGACGAGTTACTGTAGCCGTACTGTACTGTACTGTAGTGCACAGTAACTGCATCGCAACTAAACGGGCCATCGTGCCAATGGCCTTGGTTCCAGTCCAGAGCAGCACGATCGAGCGGAGGAGGCGGTGGTCACAGGGATGACGCGGAGACGGGAGCCGGCGTTTCAAGGCGTGTACAGAGAGCAACGTTGTTGATAGAATCAAACCCCCCTCCCCATTGAGCGCGTCACATCACGTCATTGCTCCCATTGACTGAGCCCCCCGTGTTGCGTACTGTGTTGTGTGTGTATGTCATCTCTTTTTTGTATTATCTTGGTTTTCGTGGCCGCGATGTAGCAAGTTCATACTCTCCTGCCCGAGTGAGAACCCATGCGTCGGGCGGGCCTGTTGTCCCTCCCCAGTCCGACCCCCAATCGTTGCCCGGCCATGCCTTGTGGAAGAGCGAACAACTTTTTCCAAACAACAGAAAAGGGTACAGAGAAGCACAGAACAAAAACCGCGATGCCGTCGACAGGGGGTCCACCCCCGTCTTTCTCCAGGTCCGGAGGAAAAACGCCCAACCGTGCTTGGAAGATACAGTCCCCTGCCAGCCTGCCTCCCTTGCCTCCCACGCCTCCAAAGTACCGTAGGTAGGCAGCTGTGTGTGTCATTCCGTTCGTTCCGCCGCTGTACCGGGTTTTTTTGCCACCCCATGCTTTGTAAAGTAATCAGAAAAAAAGAGACAACATGAACTCGCAATGCTCTACATGAAAGACAAGCCCCCCCAAGGCAATACACAGTGTGAACAGAAAAGCAAATCGTCGTGAGGCCGTTAAATATGGGAGGCCGCCGCGCGTTGTTCTGATGGGGACTCGAGCTCGTCTGAGACGTGGCCGGACCCCCCATGCAGGCAAGGTCAGCAGACCTCCCGTCTCCCGTTATAGGGAGTCAACACACCCCAGCGGATTCTGGGACCATCCCCACCCCGACACCACGAAAAAAAGTATGTGGTCGGTTCATGTGCTTGTCCCGTAGCCCGCACCGGTTCATTGGCGCGCAGTCCGGGGACTCGAACCCCGTAGCGGCATAAGGGGTCTTGTAGCACTCGGGGCTGCAGGGTTGCCGACGGTAGTGGCGAGCACTGTACTGGCAGGCAGGGTCGGTGATCAAGGTCGCCCCGCCGCACCGACCACGTTCTCTGCCTCCAGGTAACACGTCGAGCGCACGTATGATATTGTGCGACATAGAACGACGCGGTTGCATTATTGTTGTAGAAGCAAACTGGTGTTGGTCCTTTTCTTGGCAGAGTTACTTCCTCCAGCCGACATTCCAGATGACATGCGCAATGTCCCGTGCCGTATTAACGGTGTCGATGACGCGACCCAGAATGCCGTCTCCGGCAGCCGGGTCCCCTTCCTCGCATGGCATGAACATGCCGGAGGGCGTCCGGCGCATCCCCGCTGGCTCATCGCACAGGCTCCCCGTAGACGTAGACCGAGATAAGCCGTTGCCGGGGGGTGATCGCCAGCCAAAGGCACTGGCATCGGGAGCGTCTTCCATGTCGTCATCATCTTCGCCAAAGTAGAAATGGGAAGGCTGCTTGGTGGGCCGGAGAGTCTCCTGAGACGATGAGGGCGAAAGAATTGGACTTCGGTAGACGCCCGTGCTATGCTTCATCGCACTGTCCAGCTCCGGAGCATCCTCCCGGTACTTGAGTGTCGTCGAGGGGAGTTTGGCAATGGTCTTCCCTTCGGGCTGGACGGCCTTTTTCGTTTTCCTCCTCGATGACGGGCCTCGCTTCTTGGCCTTTACACGCTTCATCATAACGCCGTCATCAGAATCACTGTCTTCGTCGTACCGATCCATGTCAACATCGTCGTCTTCGTCTCCCTTAACTTCAACAGCGATGCATTGCTCCACCTGCTCGTTGAAATGAATATGTTTCCGCTCAGGGAACGGGGAGGAGACTCCGGACGAGTCCGTTGACTGGGCCACGGAGCTGTTGTTCCCGTGACTCAACCTTCTTGTGGAGAGGGGGTAGGTGACGTAGCAGTCCGTGTTGGCGCGCGACATGTTGGGCCGCAGCGCGCTTTTCCTCGTCTCCTGAGCCTGGACAGCAGCCGTCGCTTGCTTAAGGAGTGATGCGGCCGTGATGGACCTCTGTAGCATGAGCTCCGACATGCTCCGCTTCTTGAGGATGGGCTTCTTGTTCAGATTAACTAGTGACTCCGACTTGGACAGGGTTGAGCTTGATGGCTCCGTCTGAGTCGGATTTAGGCGATTTGATCCAGACTGCAAGGGCCCATAGAGCCATGTGACGTCGCAATCCTTGAGCCTATTAAGCATGTTAGTGGGAATCTGAGCAAGCCGTGGAAATAGCCAAAAGCGTACCAATTTAGCTCCTCAGGCGAGATCGTCTTTAAGTTATTCTTGGCCTTCATCCATGTCCTCCAAGAGGCGTTCTCCAAGCGCTTGCTGTTGGGGAACTCATCCCGCTTTGATATTATGTACCGCCACGAAGACCAAATGTCCTCTTCCTTCCACTCATGAGACAGGTAGTCCACCTGTCGTGAGGGTTTGCTTGAGACGGCGCTGTCGTCCTCGGCATGTTCCAGGCACTCGGGGGTGTCGGGGCCCGAGGCTACGCCCGAGTTGTCGGGCTCAGCGGGAGAGACCGTGTAGGAATCCCCGGTCTTGGGACTCGGGGGCGGCTCGAGGTTGTCGTCATGCTGGATATCAGCCGGCAGGAAGAACTTGTCCTGGGACAGAAGGGGTGGATTGAAGTGGTCTTCGGAGGCTTCGTCGAGGGCGAGAGCTTCGTCGTACTCGGAGGCTATGGAGAGATTGCTGGCTGGTGTCGAGGAAAAGGAAATGTCGGTGGATTCAGACTGGATGACCGGGGGCGGCGACGAAGGAGCGGAGGAGTGATCGGATTCGGCGTATGACTTGGATGGAGTCGCATACGGACTGCGGACGTTGGAGTTTGGCTGACGGTACGAAGACGGCGCGGCGACCAAGTTCGACTGGGACTGTGAGCGGCGCATCGACGACGAGATGAAATGACTGCTGTACTCGGAGGAGAGGACAGCTGCCATTGTGCAAGACGTGTGAGCGCACGGTGGGAGACTGGCCGACGCTTAAAAGACGCCGTAGTGCCAGGGAGGAGCCAGAGAGGCTAGAGACTCATGGATGAGGCCTCGAGAGGAGAAAGCGGTGGGCGAGCAGGCAATAAAAGTCGACGTCCAACAGGAACAACAGAGGCGTGCGTGTGTGTATATGCGGTGGCGTCGAATGCACGTCTCAGATTCGTCCCGGTCCAAGTCGCGGGGAAGACAAAGCCGGGGGCTGCCTTGCTGGTGTCCGGGGAGGAGGGGAGCAGCGATAACGAATGTCGATGATGCGGAGAGATAGGTGGGCGGCTGATACGACTCTGGGGTATCGCAGGGGAGGCCGGGAAAGAGGCTGGCTGATATGGAGGAGACGAGTAGATAAGAGGAAAGGCGCTGTATTCGACACCAGGGGCGAGTAGGGGGGACGAGGAGCAGCGAGTGCCGGGCGGTGTGTGACAAGAGCAGGTGGTCGGTGGTGCCCACGGCGAAGGCGTTCCTCGGTGAGCGATCGGCACGGTGTCGCGATGCGATGCAGGGTGATGCAATGCGTCTAAAGGCAGAGGGGAGAAGGCGTTTTCAGACAACGGCGACTGGCGGGTGAGAGAGACGAGAAAAAACGACAACTGACGACGATGACGACGTAACAGAAGACGACAGACAGGGTGAGGTGAGGTAGGGAGAGAGCGGGAAGAATGGAGGACGAGGAGCAGAGCAGGGAATGGAATTCCCTTATGGAGGTGAAGGCGAAAAGTCGAATCCTTGCCGTGCGTGGGTTGGCAGGCAGTGGACTGCCCGGCCGGGTCCCCCGTCTCAGTGCCAGTGCCAGTGCCAGTGCCAGTCCCCAGTGAGCCAAGCCGAACCGGGCCAGGCCAGTCAGTCAGTCACTGGCCACCTCTGGAAGTGGAGGCGGTTGCAGGGCCGATCGACGCTTGGGACTGGCGCATTGGAAGGCCGGTGGCAGCAGTGGAAGAAGCCCTGAAGCGGGTGGAGGGAGGGTAGGGATGGATGGATGGGAGGCGCCTGGAGGGGGGGCGCGCGGTCAAGGGCCCGGCCAGCCGGTTGCAGCAGGCAGGGCAGGTCACCCAACTGTGCGTGTCGGCGCAGAGGGCAACGGATGGCCTCCAGTGCGCCGGAAGACCCCCTCCTTCGTGACCCCCCCGGTGCGCCGCCCCCCATCCCCTGCCAGTGCGCCGGGGGCTCCACCCATCCAGCTCTGGACGGCGGGGTGGAGGGAGGCTTGCAGGGGCCCCGCTTGGACGGAAGACAGGCAAGACAGGTGGAGGTGGAGGCGGGCAGTGGTGGCACCGCCTGCGGCGTCGCCTCCTCCACGGTTCCAGCGCGTTTCCATCCATTGATGATCAAATCTGCTGCCCGCCCACGGCGCACCTGGGGGGGCTTGCCTGGGGGGCGGGCAGCCCAGGGTTCGACAGCACCGCACCACCTCGCCCACGAGCGACACCCGACCCGACCTGCGCTGCGCAGGCACTTCACCTCAGCGGGGTGGAGGCCGGTGGCCACTCACCTCGCGGGCGCCCCAACTCGAAGCCCAGACCCGGGCCCAGAAGAAGCCCGCCGTCCGCTAGCCAAACCCAGCATGGCAGCAGCGTGATGGTTTTTTGGCCGCCCTTGCGCAATCCCATTCGCCCATTCTGTGCTGTCCGGCAACCCGCCCGCCGCGCTTTCGTCAGGGCCCAGGGCCCAGGCACCGAGCATGAGGTGACTTTGACGGAGCCGTGGTGGTGATGGGATGCCCTCCTCCTCCTCCTCCTGTCTGCGTCGTTGCATGCGCCCTCGGGTGGTGGTGAACCAACGTGGCTGCGCCCGTTGCGTCTGTCCATCCACGGCCTCACCTCACCGCCCGACGCTTCCATTCATTCATCCACTCGCGGCATCCGGGACTTACTGAGAGTTAAAGTTGTCGCCGCCCAGGTACAGTAAGAGTACTCCGTATTCGACGACATGGTTTCCGCCCGGCCCGTGAGGGCCAAGATTGCAGGAGCTGCGAGCAGACCTTTCCCCTCGAACTGCCGAATGTCGTCCACGTACTGGCCTTGCCGCCCGTCCGATCGTTCATGGGTGGTCTCTTCCCTGCTCGCGTCGACGACGACAAGCGGGGGAGAGAAGAGACACCACCGGGTGGCTGTTTAAGTTCGTTGTGGCGCCAGCGGTACAGCTACGTACCCAATACCTGGCGCCGTGCCTCGTCTCCCCTTGGAGCGTGGCTCCTCGGGACCTGAACGGAACGCGACGCCCAAGGCCAGGAGATCGAGAGCGGCCCGGATGGAACGACTCTGCGCGTGTCCCGACTGCGCCGACCCCTGGTTCCTTGGTCGCGGCCGGCCAAGCGCACCGTCCTGGCACCATTTGCTTGTCATGCCATCCAACACGGCCGTCGAGGAGGTGGTGGTGTACAGACACACATACATAATACACACATACATACATAGCTACAGTGCATGCTGAAGGTGTCGCTGGAGCGTGGAGCAGGGGGGCGTGTCCCGCCTGCTGCTGGGGCTCGATGGACGCGATGCCATGCGATGCGATGCGACGCAAATCGTGCAGGGTGCATGCTGCACCACCATCAGCCACGCCTGGCGCCTTGGACGCAGCGTGCTCCAGTCACCATGTTCGACACCTGCTGGTGTGCGTGGTCCAGCCTCTGGAGTCCGTGGCCCGAGTCCGTGGCCCGCGGCCGTGCAAACCCCCAGCCAGGGCTTGCCAGGGCTTGCCTGAAGGCTCTCGTACGGCTTCGTCCGCGTACCCAGTGTCCTGCCGGAGCAAACTTCGTCTCTCGCACGCGCCGGAGACCGCCACCTGAACACAAATCGATTTTGCCTGATTGACGGACAACAGCCCGTCCCATTCGGCTGTCCGTCCCTGGCCACGGGTTCTCTCGCCGTCTTCCCCGCCGTATCACAACCAGCGACAATTGAGCCATATTCGTCTCATTCGCTGACCCGATGACAGGCGAGGTAATCGGCGAGCCGCTTTTTGCCCCTCATTTGCCGCTGCCCACAGCGGCCCCTAGCGTCTGCATAAAAAATGGCCGAAGACGATCTTCGGCACAGCATGGCTAAGCCCGAGCGGCAACAAGCGCGGCCTTGGAGGCTGGGCAGAGCTCGCGACAACAAAGTGAATAACTGAGGCTGACCAAGTACCGTACCTCGACGTGTCTCATGCCGCCATGTTTCTGCGCCATTGTCCTTCCAGGAGCGGCCAGAAGATGGTGATTGTTCGTTATCGTCGACTTTGCTGAGACGCCACGGTTCAGGCATTGTCCGAGCGAGAGCCGCTCCGGATGCGGCTGAGACACGCTCGTGGGCACAGGGGCGTTGCCGACGGCGAAATGCACGTTCCCCTGGAAGAATCGCCTTCGAGAATTAGCCGTCATTGCTGTGCTGCACGGCGACAAGTGCGCGCGAACGGAACCATCGTGGCTTGCCCTCGGTCCAAATATCCCTCCAAGTGTTCAGCTCGTTGGAGCCAAGTGGAGGAAAGGCGAGCTTCGGGCCACCATCGCGGGCCAACAGCGGGTGGGCCTGGAGACACACGGCCGAAAGTGGGGACCCTGGTGAGGAATCTGGAGCCCCGGGAGCAGCTGCGCCGGCCGATGTTGATTGCGCTGTCCCGCTTGGAAGTTGGAACTGTCCCTGGCAAGCCTGGGTTGCCCAGGGAGGCACTGCGCCGCGGTTCAACATCAAGAGACCGGGGTGTCGAGTGTCCGCGGCAGACATTGGCCAGGCTAGCAGCAAGCATCTTGCGCTCTCAGACTTTCGAAAGACTTGAGGTTCTCGTGAATGTGAGAGAAGATTACAGGCAGACACCCGTCGCATTGACACATGTTCGAGAGACCAAGGCATACGAGCCTCAGGCACTGCTTGGTGTTAGCTGTGCCAGAGGCGAAATGTACAGGTGCACAGGCAGGCATAAGGGCGCAATCAGGCGTGCTTGTACTGTGCTGTGCAGTGCAGTGTAGTGCAGTGCAGTCACTGCGCTCGCTCCTTCCGACCTTCTCGTATGCCACGGTGCATCTGTGGATGCTGGTGGTCCGAGGAGAAGCGGCGGCAAGCGTGGTGGATCTCGATTGCTCCTGCCACCATCTTGATGTCGCCAGTGATCCATTGCTGGCAACGGCGCCAAGTCGAGCGCGGGCATTCGCAAGCTCCTCCGACAACAGCAGCAAGAACGATGAGCTTCGTCCACCTCTACAAGCGCCATCAACATCATCCAGCCGGATCACCGACGATCACTCATCGACACCACGCCGAGGCGGCTGCCTTTGGAGATGGCATGTCACAGCGATCCACCCTGCGGATCCATGTCAATGACTTGAGGGACCCTGAACATCCCCAGCTTCCCGCTCGCGCCAGCCGCGACCTGCATCTCCTGGTATGACAACCAAGCCAACGTCAAACAGGGGAGGAATCGCGACGGCAGTGTCATCTTCTGATATCATGAGGGCGCCAGGTGAGCTCATCGTGCCGTGGTGGGCTGCGTCCGCTGCGTCCTGTCGCCTACCGCCCGCTGATCGCCCTGAAGCTTGCACCCACATCTCCGATATATCCCGCCGCGGGATGAGATCCAGGCCAGGGCAGGGACAGCTTCCCCAGCCGGGGACAGGTTCGCAGATCAGCCCCTGTGAAGCAACGGAGAGCTCCCTCGGGACTTGTTGATACGAACCGGCTCCAGTCATCCAGTGTGGACGCAGCATTGGCTCACAAGTTCTGTATGAGATGGTGCAGGAAGCTTCTCCACGTCCAAGCCGCAGCTCAAACCAGCCACGCGTTCTCTCTGCTCCGCCCTCCGCTCCGGAACACTGCGCTCCTTCGAATTGGATGTGGACGATTCTCAAGATCCGTGTGCAACCAACCACGTCGTGTGTCATTTGCATATGCTCTCCGCCGCAGCTTGACCCCGGGCGGCCGGGTTGATCCATCAACTAACGTTAATAGCTCTGAAGCTGGTCAGCTCTCCACTTGATTTCGCTCGATGGCTGACTGACTACCTGGCGCCGCGCAGGTGCGTGCGGAGAGAGGAGCCAAGGTCAATTGCAGCGTCGACGGCCGAGCTCTCCACGTTCATCAGCTCCCACGCCCCATTGCTCGCGCCGCAGCACCAGAGTCAACAAGCAACGCGTGCTTGGTGCATTGGCGACCTTGAGGGCTGTCACACTCCATGCAGGGCGCTGCAGCTACTCAACGCGGGGCGAAAGAGCCTGATTGGCGTCAAGCCACCGGCCATCGTGCCATGACAGGAGTCAATCGCAACTCGCGGCTCGAAACCGGTCTTGTTCCTATCAGTGCCGGCCCGACGGTGGTTCACCAATTGCGCGCCGTTGTCTGTCGGCATGGGGACGGCGCTCGACCACCGCTCGCCCCGTTGGCAGGTCGGCCCCTCCCTGGCGCCAACTACCCAGTGTACTTGCACCACCTTACCCTGGGAACGATCGACGCCAGGACTGGCAACGCAACGGCACTTTGTGTCTGCTCAAGCCACAACCTGGACGCTTTGGCCAGGGACCGGCAACATCGCCCGTGGCTGGAGCCTCTGGAAACTTCCTGCAAACTCAAATGTCAGGATGGGTTGCTCTGAATCTTATGTGCGGCAAGGGCGTCTTTCCGGGACCCTGACTTCAAAGTTGCCCGTCCTCCTTGCTGGCTCAGCTCAAAATTTCTTTTTGCAACTCTCTGGGCCGTCTGGGGAGACATCATCACCTGGCAAGAGTCGCGCAAGCACACAGCGTAATAGTTTATTGGGCCTGAGGAATCAGGATGTAGCCCAGACTCGGACATGGCTTGGACAGGAAACCCGAAGGGTACCAAGTATTGCGGCTCCGACGCGAGACCTGGCGAGGCTGCCCGTGCCGCCGTCAGTCACATCATCTCGAGCTGCAATTGTGGCAACGGACAAGCCGGTTATCAGCCCAGAGGGCCATGCAGGACACGCCGCCGGCCGACTCCACTGCAAGCTGCAGCTACTTCGACAACACGCTACTGAGGTGGCATCTGGCGTTTTGGCAGGCTGCAAACCCATGCTAGGGCTGCGCTGCGACGGTGCGGGCTGCATGCAAGCGTGCGCGCAGCTACGAACAAGGCGGCTCCGTCTGCGGTACACGCACAACACGCAACCAATGTGAGACGACAGATTGCTCGAGAGATTCGCCGTGTCATCCGTAGGTTTCGGCTTGCCAGCTTTACGAAACGCCCAGACATGTCGAGAGCGCATTGAGTCCCTCACCTGCAGCAGCAAACCCCACCGGGCGGTGCTGACTTCTTAGCATCGGGATGATACACCCGGACGTAGTATGTACAGGTAATCAGAATCACCCAAGAATGGACATGCGCACGATTTGTACTGCAACAAGCACCCCGTCGTGGATGCAGCCACCAACCATCATGTGTCCAAGCATGGATGGCACTGGGCAGCCAGCCACACGTCAGGGTTGTTGCAGGCACGCCTGCTGGCCGCCTCTCACTACGTACAGGGCACCACCCACCCTGCGGCTAACCGCAAGGTGTCCGCTGTCAGGACGGAGAGTGTTCACTCTGGGCGTTTCGTATCGCACAGTGGGAGGGAAAAGTGAGGAGCAGAACGGAAAGATGTTCTGCTAATTCATTACCCGCTACAGCAATAACTAGGCGGACACCAACGAAATATTCCGGGATGAGAGGGTTCAGCATAGGACGCCATGGCGCTTCGGAAACTGCCTCTGACGAAGTTTGTCCGTCAAACTTACACTACCCTAACCCCGCGACTCTTTGCTTGAGCTGTAATCACAGAATTGCGCCAAGAGAGGCCGAAAGGCTCATCAAGCCAGGGTCCAGACTGCTGTCCCTGATGCAGCTCCCAAGGTAGCGGCAACTGTAGCGACCAGCCGGTATCACCTGTGTTACAACAAAATTGACTCAGCAGGTCCTGATAACATCGCCGCCAAAACTTAAGGTTGCCCATCCTGGTGCACATCAGACTGGGACGAGGGACCGTATCTGCCGGAGATTGCCCTCCGTTCATTTTGAAGACCTCCCGTAGGTAGGTGTCAGACGGCCCGGCAGGCCGACCGGGCCGCACATCGGCGTCACGGCGGCATGCAGACAAAGGAGCCGCCGTGAGGGCCGCTACAGATAGGAGCGGGACGCGTACACGATAACAGGCAACCCGTCTTTGACATGCGATGTAGGTATGAGATGAGGTCTATTAATTGTGTAGTGCTTTGATGGAGACCCGACGGGTGGTTGTCTCTGTAAAGAGGCTAGGAGTTGATTGTGATGGAGCGCTGTGCGACGAGTTTGCGGCGTGCAGGGGTTGATGTGCAGCATCTGAGAGATTGATGTCTGCCAATTCATGGACCGGCCTGGCATCTCTAGGGCGATTGAGCTAGGGTAAGGCGAGGAGATCCTCGTCGTCACGCACGGTCAAAGCCGCAACCTCAATCCTGCTCGATTCTCGGAAAGCCGCAGCTGTGGAGTACACCTCTTCTTCGCAAGCATGAGAGCTATAGCTACCAGACTCCCCAGTGTAGCCGTACTCGCGCCAGGGGCAACGGCTACAACGGCAGACACCACGGCCGCCTGTAACGGCGTCGCGTACTTGGTGGTTCACGCCGCTCTATCGCATAGTCCACATCCATCCCGCGGGTGCTTGCGCTAATAACCGCCGAGACGCTGCCCAGGCCACGACCTCGTGTCGATACGCTTACTCCCCCCAACGCGCGATGCGGTACCTCTGCACAAACGTGCGCGCCGCGTTTCACCACGCGGCACGCAGCCTCTTCGCCATGGAAGTCGTCTTCCCGTTCGTACCTTCGCTCGCAGGTCCAGCACCAAGTACGTAGCAACGGAGAGCGAGGGAGGGGCGCAACGGATGGACGGCGGGACAGGGACAGGGAGGCTATGCTCCCCGCAATTCCTGTTCATGCGAGCCATCGCTGACCGGCTGCATGCCGAGATTGCAGCGCAGGACTGCTGCATGCGCGTTTGCGTCGCCGTCGCAGGCAGGCTCTGGCAGCGCATTGCATGCCGTCCGACGATAACGACGCGGAAGCGGGCGAGGCGGTACGGGTCGTCTGGTGGTGGCAAAAGGGGAGAGGAGGGCTCCGAGAAATCCCGCGGCTCGCGGGACAAGTCGCTGCGCGGCGCGTCGCTCTCGAAACTCCGCACATAAAGCGTAGCACGACCCCCGGAGCCGGCGAGGCCGGGCAGAGCCGTGGTCGCACGGGGTGAAAGGCCATACCTAACCCATGAAAAAGGCATCATTTGCGGGGAGCGAAGGCGACCTCGGGCGGCAGGCGGAAGCTGGCACAGAACATGCGCTTCGCAGGCGCCACGTCGCGGACCTCATGGATTGCCACCTGCCCATCGATTTCCGCGTCACCTGGCTGCAGCCGGACCCCGATTTCGTTGTAGATGCGCTGGCAGATGTCGTTGAAGGCGGTTGCATCGTCTGCCTTGACAGCGAAGCAGTGGGCGTGGACCATGGGCAGCCGCGTCTCCGTGTGCGGGGCGAAGAGCTTCTCCTGCCCCGAGTAGACACCCTTGTAGTTGTGCAGGAACTCGAGGGCCGAGGCGGGGAGGTTCATGACGAAGTGAGAGACGGTCGGGGGCACGGGGACCCGGACGGGCTGCGGGCGAGACTCTGGTGGCGCGCTCCTCGGGACTTTTGCGGGCTTGACCACGGCGCAGTCACCCCGCTGCGAGGCCTCGAGGACGAGTTCGGCCGCCTTCTTGATAAAGTCATGGCCATCGCAGTTGAACGCCTTGACAAACTCGGACACCTAGGCGAGATCAGCCGCGACCGTCCAACAGGGGGTAGCCCTATGCGGGCAGACGTACCTTGTTTCTCCTTATCGCGTCCTCGAGATACCTGTAGCTCTCTGGATTCTTATCGTTGGCCCATACGAAGACGCCCTTCTTGCCGGCCGGGGCGGCAAAGGGCCCAATGCCAGCCATGACGTCTGCTACGACCTCGCCGGGCTTAAAGAGAGCGGTGATTCGCTGATGCTCGGTTCCCAGCTTGGTGTTCCAGTACACCTGGGAGTAGTCGAACTTGAAGACGCAGCCGGCCTCGCTCACCTCGACGAGCATGTCGTCGGGGCCGGCGAGGACCTCGTAGGAAAAGGTGCGGAACTCGCTCTCGGTGCCGACATTGTCCGTCTTGTTGATGACGGTACGGATGCCGGGGTTCTTGTCGACGATGACCTGGGCGATGATGTGCTTGTAGGGGTGGTACTGGCTCCTCAGGTTGAGGTGCGCTGCGGGTGTCAGCGCGATGGTCTCTGACTGGACCGGGGGGGAAGGGATGGCGACTTACCGACGTGACCTGCTGTGTTGAACCCGACGGGGATCTCGCCGTGGAGCTCCTCAGGCAGTATCGATCTCATGACATCCACTGTGAAGGCTCGTGTGTCAGCGAAGCATGATAGATTGGAATGTTCACCGGTATCAGAGACGTACAGTAACTCCACAGCTCATAGCCAATGGTGACCTCGAACGGCACGACCTTGATATCCCCCTCTCTGGACGCCTCTTGCAATATCGAGCTCCATGTGTCAGGCTCTTAGCGCGCACGGCGTGTCAGCAATACCGCAAAACAAAACACCAATCGGAATTTATGAGGTCGGGGTGAAGGGGACATAGGCTCACGGGAAGGCTTGACATCGGGCTTGAGGATGAGGCACTTGCGGCCCTGGGACACGAGCTCGCGGTCCGGGTCAGCGGCGATGGAGTCGAAGCGGTCGAGCATGAGCAGCTCGCGCGACTTCTCGAGCTGCTTGCGGTACTTGGACAGCAGGCGGTTGTCGCGCACCGAGGCGGCGGCCGTGGGCAGCGTGCGCGAGAAGAGGGCCCGGTCGAGCGTCTTGGCGGCCCGGGCCGCGGCGGGGGCGCGGAAGAGGTTCATCTCCAGGCTGGAGCGCTTGGTCTGCGAAGAATGGTGTCAATACAAATTTTGTGTGAGACTTGGCGGAGGAGTGAGTGAGTGGAGTGAGCTACCTCCATGTCCGAGAGTGAGTGTGGTGATGGCGCTGACGATGGGGATGTGTGTAAGTCTGTGTGCGCGTGTGTGCGTGTAAGCTCTCAGGCGACAATGATGACCGGCATCGTGAACTTTTTTCTGAAGCTGCCCAGGCCACTTGGGCGCTTGTTCCTGGTGGAGGAGGTAGGGGTTGAACGAGGCTGTCAAATGTGGACTTTTGGAGCTCATGATTGGCTGTATTGCACAGGGGTCAAGCGGGTCACGCCCGGCTCAGCGAATCATTGAGCGGAACCAGCTTGACAAGGCTGCCGGTATTCTTAGTGATGTCACGACTCACCGCGACCTTCATCTAGTCGCTGGAAGTTACACGGTTTTCTCAATGCGAATTTGAGCAGTCTCTGCGAGTTTACTATTCTCATCATGTCTAACAAGAGAACTATAGAGGCGTTCTTTGGATCTGCCCCCAAGCGTACAAAGACCCAACCTGATAGCATCGACATGGACACGGACACATCCAATGTAAGAGTCGAGGAGAAGTGTCGTTTGCGGGCCAGCTGCGGCGGAAGTTGCAGGTGTACACGAACCAACGAAGCTAATTGCTGAACTAGGCGGATACATCAAAACATGCCCAGTACCCGCATCCCATTGTCAACCTGCCGCCGTCTATATGCAAGGAAATCTCGTCCCTGCCTGCCAGAGAGGCCAAGGTCATCAACGACCAGCCAGATCTCGACCTGCTGTATTTCGAACCATATATCCCTGAATACCTGGCGCGCCACCTATTCGAGTTTCTGCGCGCCGAGCTGCCATTTTACAGGGTCGAGTATGGCATCAAGCGCGGAGGCTTTGAGACGCACATCCGGACTCCGAGGTTTGTCTCTCCGGTCCGGTTTTGAGAGCGGGAGCGAGGTTAGACGCATTTCTGATGGACGCGATAAAGATGGACAACCGTCTTTGGGCTCGACGAAACGTCATACTTTGACGAATCCGGCCGAGTCATGGACCGGGCCTCGGGCGTTCCGGCGGCGGACAAACGGTATGACAAGTATCCCCCACGCCCGCTGCCGCAGTGCCTCGACGTCCTACGCCAGTCCGCCGAAGCGGCCACGGAATGCCGCTTCAACTTCTGCCTCGTCAACTACTACGCCTCCGGGTCCGACAGCATATCCTTCCACAGCGACGACGAGCGTTTCCTCGGCAAAGACCCGGCCATCGCCTCCTTCTCCCTCGGCGCGCGGCGAGACTTTCTGCTCAAGCATAAGCCGCCACCATCTCAGAACGGCGGGCAGAAGAGCGAGGGAGCCGGCGCCGGCTCCAAGCCGCTCAAGTTCCCGCTGGCGAGCGGTGACATGATTCTCATGAGGGGTGCGACGCAGTCCAACTGGCTGCACTCCATCCCCAAACGCACGGGCAAGAACCAAGAGGACGGAGGACGGATCAACATCACATTTCGGCGAGCCATGGTCAAGGGTGGGACGGAAAATTATTACAACTACAACGTCGGCACCGGGCCCGTCTACCGCTGGGACAAGGTGAACCGCGAAATGAGAGTGTACAAACAGTAAGGGTATCCCGACAAATCCATTCCCAGGACTGCCTGTTCCATCGACGACAGAGTCCTGCCTAGGACACGACACAGGCCATTATTTGCCATGACGCATCTGCGCCTTGGCGTACTTGCGCAGCGCTCTGAGGAATACTTGGTACCCGAACCTTTCGTTGTCCTTCAGGCAGAAAATCTCAGTCAAGCGGATCTGCCAAGGCGGATAGCTCGAGAGCTCGACATAAGGGCTGAACAGAATAAGGAGGTCCGGCTCCGGCATGATGCCCTCGGACAGCTCTGCGTCGACCAACTCGATGGAGATGTCTCGAGGGGAGAGTTTGCCCTTTTGCGACATCTCGGCCAGGGTGCGGGTGAGGTCGACGATAGACTCGCGCCCATCCTGCGCCGAGATCAGGTGGAGCTTCAGGTGGCCTTGGCTGCCGTCATCTACCGAGGGAGACGAGTACTCGTCCTTGTGCGGCGACGTAACCGACAGGCTTGGGTGTTTGCCGGCGAAATAGAAGGTGAACTTCTGAATGACGGCCTCGTAGACGCGGGGCATATGCTTCTTCAGTATTCCTGCCATTTGTTAGCCATGACGCATATATATAGTCTCGCGAATTCACGACGCACCGGTCTTTTCGTATACTGAGAGTATGGGGATTTCGGCGCAGGCGCACCAAGTCGCCAGTTCCGCCGTCTCATCAATCAGCCGCTCCAAGTCGGCCTTGGCGCGGTGGTTCTCCTCTGCCTTTAGTATCGCGCTGAGATGCTTGGGCCGCCTTTGAAGGCCCATGACATCCTTTCGTATGTACTGCGGCGTTGCGTGGTGGTAGTAGAGGACCGACGAGACCTGGTAACAGACGACGTTGACGGTCTGGCGGATTCGGATGTACAGCGAGAAGATGCCGTGTAGGATGGCGAACACGAGAACGTGCAGCTGGTTCTGGAGGAAGCGCCGGACGCCCAAGCGCGATCTCCTCTGCGACGGCGACGATCGGCTGACGAGGGGGAGCTCTGCGGGCGCGGGAAGATTTGTCTGCCCCTTTGTCAGTAACTTTGGCGTAGCGTCCGCGGGTACACAGAAGTCCAACCTTGAGCATCCGCTTCTTTTCTTGGTCGCTGAGCATGGTATGCCCCTTGACCTCGTCGGCCCTATAGGCCTCGCGGTCGCGAGAGTTGACTGGCATTGTGCAGGCGGCGTCGCAGCCTCAAGCGGGCTCGCTCGTGATGGTTTCGGGGAGCGAAGGCGGGTTTGGTCGAGGTTCAAGTTCCACGAACGTTGGGCCGGTTATGTACAAGAAGGAGCGTATCGTATTCGAGGGTAGGTGGCATATGTATGCGTAGAAACGAACGACGTGGCGACGCGGCCCTCGAGAGGAAGCCAGATGGAAGCTGTAGAAGCCAGAGGCGTGGTCGGCTGAGCCTCAAGGATCTTACGTTGCGGCTGCGTCGCGCGCAGGCTTGGCATGTGCCGCGCGAGTGGCCCAGCTGTGGCGCAGCAAATCTGCATGGAACAGCGTGGCAGCCCCAGAGCTTCTGTGGTTCGAGGTTGCACCAAGTGCCAGTGGAGCTGTGTTCCGTTCCAGGTTCCCTGGTGTCGCCTGGCGGGGCGCTGGGCTGCGTGCTTCGTGGCGGGGCTACAGGGGGCGGGGAGGATACAGAGGGTCAGGTCGTCAACTGCCTAACGCGCCTTGTGTCGGGTGCTGGAGTGCGATTCCTCCAGCTGGTGGCATACCTAACCTCCGATCCATGGACGTTGCCAGCTTCGCGACGCAGACACCACCATCACCACCAGCCCCAACTACCGACCGACCGCGACGCGCCGTCACGAAACAGGCCCTGCCTCCCGCTGGATGCACGACCCTCGGCGCGCAGAAGCGTGGCCACCGCGACGATAGCGGTAATTGACATGCGCACGTAGGCGACGCCAGGGGGGCTTGCTGTCACGTCCACTCGCCAGCATGGATCGGTCGAGCTCGGGGCCCAAGAGCCTCTTCCCCAAGGCGCCGAGCTTCACACTCGACAATTTCTCCAGCAAGGACTTTATCGTGCGCGACTTTGTCGACAGCCTAGCCGAGAGCGCCGTGCCGGTCAACCGGCGATCGGGGCCAGGACAAGTGGCATTTGACCCAAAGCCGCTCATTCGAACCTTTGAGAGTATGCCTGAAAGCGCCCATTGCCCGTTCGCGGGCTGGCCAACGTCAAGCTGACACCGCCATATAGATGCTTTGTCGCAGCTCGCCCTGCTCGGAGAGGAGCTTCAGGGCAACGAGTCGGAGCTACTGTCGCAAGTCCGCCGCGCCGAGATTCAACATGACCAGACGCTCGACACGCTCGGCCGGAAGCTCGACGAGACAATGGGTTCGTTCGAGGCTCTCGACGTCACGCTGAACTCTGGGTCCGCCAGCGCGCCCGACACCAGCGGCAGGTCCGACGGCGGGGGAAACGTGGCCGTGCAGATTGGCGAGAAGCTTGAGGAGCTGGACAGGAAGCGGAGGCGGGCACAAGACGCCAACTTCCTGATCCAGTGTTGGACGGAAGTCAGCGAGACCGGGCAGCTCGCGTCCCTGGAAGATATCCGGCGGCAAGGTGGCGCCGAGAACAAGGTCAGATGCGCGGTGATTGCGCGCCAGCTCATGAGGATCAGCCAGCAGCTCGACCCGACGTCCTGGGGCCAGACCAATGGTCACCGAAATACGGGCTCGGGCAGTCCCATGACCAAGACACACAACACGCGCGAGATACTGGAGAAGTTTTGCGAGACGTTGGAGCAGGACCTGCTGAAGCAGTTCAACAACAGCTACCGGCGGCAGAACTTTGACGACATGATGGAGTGCTCCAAGGTCCTCCACGATTTCAACGGCGGCGCGAGCGTCATCGCTGTTTTCGTCAATCAGCACCAGTTTTTCATCGACCGAGACCAGCTCATGAGCGACGAGGTCACTGCCGATGGCGAGATGTGGGAGGCCCTGGCAGATCCGGACTCTGATCCGCCGGGCGTCGAGCCCAGCTTGCAGTCCCTCATCGACGAGGTCAAGATTGTGATGCAGGAGGAGTCCTTTATCATCAAGAGGGCCTTCCCATACTACGAAACGGTTTTGACCAAGTTCATCCAGCGAGTCTTTCAGCAGTCGATTCAGCAGCGCCTGGAAAAGGTCCTCGACAAGGCCGAGACCATATCTACACTGGCCTTTTTGCGATCGCTGCATTCCTCAAGGAGCTACATTGGATCTCTGGTAGAGGACCTGAAGACGCACGGCCTGACGGAGCACCCGGAGCCGTGCTCGGCGCAGATTGCGCAAGCCCTGGATCAGCAGCTCGACGAGCTCTTCGTGCCGTACATGGTCGGCAACACGTATATTGAGCGGGAGAAGAAGAGTCTCGAGGAAATGTACGGCTCGCTGCTGTTCCGATTCTCCATGTACCACTCGCGCCGGAAGAAGGCGCCGACCGGGTTCATGGCGTCGTTGGCCCAGCAGGGGACGCAGTTCATCGCCACCGCCAAGGACGCCTACCTGGAGCGCCTCGAGTCGTCGGACCTGACGCCCACGCAAAAGAAGATTATGCTGCGCGTTGCCGGCCTCAAGGACAAGGATAACAAGAACGAGATTGAGGTGACGGAGGAGGACGGCGCGCTCAGCGTCGCCAACGCGAAGCGAATGCTTAAGTGGCTGGCTGAGAGCGTGCAGCGGACGCTGGAGCTGGGGTCGCGGATCGAGACGCCCAAGGACATGAATGTGCTGCTAGGCCTGCTGCTCACCAGCATGGGCAAGGTGTACATCGAGACGGCGCTCGAAGCGGCGCACATGCAGGCGACGGTGCTGGAGAACTCCAAGACGGAGCCGGACCTGTCGTACCTCCCCGGCATCCGGCCGGCGGTCACGGTGGCGGCCATCATGGAGCGCTTCATCAGCGTGGTGCTCATCCGGCTGGCCGACTCGAACACGACGGTACGCAAGAGCATGGAGGCGCAGAAGAAGATGGCGACGGACTCGATCGAGAAGAAGGCCAACGCGGTCATGAAGGCGTCCATCGACGTCGTGTCCAACTGGACGGCCAAGGCGCTGGGCGGCCAGAAGAAGCAAGACTTTCGGCCGCGCGACGCGGAGCTCGAGTCGCTGCAGACGCCCACGTGCCTGGCCATCTGCACGTTCCTCGCGCGAGCGGGCAAGCAGGCGGCGCAGGCCGTCGACGGGCTCAACGCGGAAAAGTTCTTCAGCGAGCTGGCCATGGCGGTGCACGGCTTGCTCTTCGACCACTTCAAGAAGTTCCAGGTCAACGCCACGGGCGGGCTCATGGTCACGCAGGACATTGCCAAGTACGCGGCCACGCTGCGCGACTGGCCCCTGGCCAAGGACGTGGCCGCCGCCGTGGAGCTGCTGACGGAGATTGGGTCGCTCTTCATCGTCGGGCCCGAGGCGTTGCGCGAGAAGTCGCGCACCCTGGCGACGGGCGCGGGGGCAGCCTCGTCGTCGTCGCGTGGGAAGCTGTCCAAGGCGGACTTTCGGGCGTTTGTGCAGCGCAGGGACGACTCGGGGAGCGTGGGCATCCAGAGCGTGCTGGCGGGACTGTGATGGTGGATATTTTTGTCGGAGTCAGGGGGGCATGTCGCGTACTATGGAGTGTAAGGTAGTTGCCGGCGATCTGAGAGCAGACGAGGGCATGAGACGGTTGATACCATGCATGTGGGTGTTTACGCCCCGCGCTGAGCTGTTGCATTTCCATGTTCATGAGTTCATTGTTGGTGTCTATGTTGTTGAGGTATCTCTCTAAATGGCTGATCATGATCGTTACAAAATGGCAACCGGCGCACCTGTCACAGGTCTCTCCGCAGGCCACCCTTGCGGCCGGTACGCTCCTCCAGCTTCTCATCCAGGTAGTCGATGAGCTCGCACATGTCCGCCAAGCTGGAGAGGCGGGCGCGGTCCCTGCGGCCCAGCAGGGGCTTCCTGTCGGTCGCGAAGCCGGGCCCGCACATCTCGGAGACGTGGTGCACGACGAGCTTGAAGGGCAGCGGGCAGCGGGCGACGTTGCACATGAAGGCCTCGACGGCCTCCCAGGGGCAGGTCGGGTGCCCGGCGAAGAGGGCCGGGTTGGCGAGCAGGCCGCGCGCGGACATGAAGCCCGAGAGGTTGGTGTTGCTGGGGCGGGGCTGCGTGGAAGCGTCGCCGACGAGGGCTCCGTTGGCGGTGCCGTTGGGGTGTCGGGGGTGTTGGTCGGCGTCGTCTTTGAGGGTGAGGGTGGCGAGGTCGGGGGGCGGCGGCGTGGAGGGCTTGAACGGCAGTGAGGATAGGTCGAAGACGTCGCCGGAGAGGAGGATGGGGAGCGTGCCGGCGTACTTGGCGGTGAGGATGTCGAGCGCCTCGGTGCGGATGGGCGTGGTGGAGGGGGTGCTGCGCGTGCGCGGGTGGATGGTGACCCAGTCGACGAGCCGATTCTGGGGATGCCCGATGACGGTATCGAGAAAGTCCATGGTTTTCCTGCACAAGACACCGTCAGCACATTCATCCACTCATCTCATCCCAGGCCATAATCAGGCCCAGGCAGGCCGAGGGGAGCAGGGAGCATGGGGGTCCGCCCACACACCTCAAGTCATCGTGGACGCGTATCTTGACGCTCACGCTCCTGCCCCGGGGGCTATTCACATCAGCCTCCATGCCAACGGCCCATCCATCACCGCGCAGGCGGTCCCGCGTCTCGACGACCATGTCGCGGACCAGCTCGCGGCGGTTCATGAGCGCGGCGCCGAGCGTCTCGGCGCAGGCCCACGACTGGGGGCAGCCGCAGTTGAGGTCCACGCCCGAGACGAAGGGCGCGGCCAGGGCGGAGGCGCGGGCGAGCTCGAGGGGCTTGTTGGCGCCGAACTGGAGGATCGTGGGGGGCTGGACGCCCTGGGTTGATATGGTGAGGTCTGTTTCAGAAAAGCAATGGTGATGCTCCCGGTCAGCAGATGTTTGGCTATGGTCTTCATGCCCAAGCAGTGAGGCCACAGGAGGCGGCTCGACTTACCGCTGTCGCGTGCGAATCCGCTGCGGTTGAACTCCTTGGCGAGAATCATGGGCGTCCAGCACAGGTCGACGCCGTACTGGTGCACCGTCTGTCGGAAGGCGAGCTGCGGAGGTGAAAGACGCCTCAGTGAGTGGCAGGTCCAACTCATCGTGAGTTATGAGAGGAGTCATGGCGGTGTCCTACCTTGCTGTACCGCACCATGGGGGCGCACGCGTAGAGGAACTTGTCCTGCTTCCTGGCGGCGTCGAAGATTTTGAGCGGGCTGGCGCATCGTCGTCAGTTTTCCAACATTGGACATGAAAATTGAAGGCATCGTCCCATGACAGCAGCGGTGGGGGGCAACTCACTGGGAGGGCCCGACATGCGGCGACTCGTCCTCCCCAGGCGCCGCCATCGCAGCTGCACTGGCCCAGCCCTTGGCTGGATGAAAGTGTGGCGAGACGGAAAGGGACTTTGCGCCAGTGTCCGGGGGGGGCTAGGATGGGCTCGATATGGTTGTTGCGATGAAGTGTCAAGTTCAGACTTGGACTTTCGGATTTTTTTTCCTTGACTTGTCGTTCTTGAATAAGAGTGCAGCCAATCACTGGAACCCGCGCGACAGCCGACTAACGCTTTGGGCAATTGGACGACGTTCGCCTGTCACACTTCTCTCTTACATCTCATTTATTCTCATTTACATGTATCCTCCGGTTTATGAGTTATACTGTACAGCTCAAGTCATCATCATGTTGCTTCATCAGACATTACACCGCGGGTCGCGCATTTCTTTACTCACTGCAACCGAGTGATGTCTGTTCCCTGCCTGCCTCCATCGCATCAAGGTTCAAGACCATGAACATGTCTTCTTGCCATCATGTCTCGCTCATCATCTTGCTCCCGACCCTGACGCCGCAGCACCGCCGCCGCCGCCGCCCTCGGGCGTCGCCTCCTCGTCCATCGCAAACAGGCTATCCGCATCGCCCTCCATCTCCTCCACCTCGCGCGCGCCCAGCATCCGCTCCCGCTCCAGCATCACCTCGCGCACCCACTTGCGCTCCGCCGCCGCGCGCCGCCTCGCCTGGTCCCCCGCGTCCTCGAGCCGCGCCGCCAGCCGGTGCCGCGCGCTGTACATGAGCTCCTCGCGGATCGTCCGCTCGTCCTGGAGCCGCGTCTTGTACTGCGCCAGCTCGTCGTCCCGCCATTGCTGCCACACCCGCAGGCCCTTGTCCATGCGCCGTCGCAGCGGCCGCATCCCTGCCTCGACCTCGGCCGCTGCGTCCGGCTTGCCGCTCCAGAACGCCTGCAGCTGCTCCTCGTACTCGCCCTCCACTTTGCGCTCCTGCGCCGCTCGCAGGGCGTACTCGCGCGCAAAGGTCTTTTCCTTGCTTGCCATGCGCGATGCCACTAGCTCGTCGAGGTTGGTGCGCTGGGCTCGCTGCTGCGCGTCGAGCTCCGCCTGCTTCGTCTCGCTGTCCTTGGCTAGGTCTCGAGCGTCCTCGTCCTGCTGCGTGTCGGCCATGACTCGCTGAAGCTCGTGAAGTTCGTCGAGTTTGTGTCGCAGCTCTTCGTACTTGAGCTCGACCTCCCTCCGACGAACCGTCTCCTGGCGGATGCGCTCCTTGATTTGCCGCTGCCAGCGCTCCTCAGCCAGCCGCGCCTGCTCCAGCCTCTCTAGCTCGGCTCGCCTGGCCTCTTCCTGCTCGAACAGCTCGATCTGCGCGAGAATCTGCCGCAGCTCCGCCGCCTCGGTTTGTTCCCTGAACCTGCGGTGCTCGCGGCGCTCCTGGGCAGCCCCCTTGAGCGCGTACAGCTGGTCCATGGTGCACGAGCACGTCCGCCAGCGCTGCCCGCAGACGTAGCAGAACTGGTGGCCGCATCGACACGTCATGTGCTGGCACGCCTCCCTGTGCTCTACGAGTGCGTTGCAGCTCGAGCACCGCTTCCACCCCTCCTCCTCGGCCAGCACGTTGGTCAAGTCCATGTCGCGGTCCTCCGGGCACTCTCCCGAGCCATGGTGCTGTCCCCGACAGATTGTGCAAGTTAGGTGTCCTCGCTCGCAACGGCCCTGGCGCTTCGCCATGACGATCTTGCGCGGCTGTATCCAGAGTGCGCAGTCTGGCCGGTGGCAGTACACGCGCTCGCTCACGGGCACCTCCCATTCTGACGCTCTCTCCTGAAACGTCTTCTTCAAGCCGTCCGGGATGTTCTTGAGGATCGTGCGAAACGGAATCTCGTTTAGGCAGCACTTTGGCGGCCACTGTTGCTCGTTCTGGACGGCTGCTGTGATGAGACGGACGAAGCACTCGCGGCAGTAGCTGTGGCAAGTGACCTTGACGCAGTCCCGTTGAGGTACGTCGTCGAGGCATGAAACGCATTCGCTGTTCTCGATTAGCAATCCAAACGAGTGAGCTGACGAGGTATGTGACGGTCGACTTACACTTCAACATTGACCTCGGGGCCCTTGTAAAAGCCAGACTTGCGAAGCTTCTGCAGTGTCCTTTGCGTGTGCGAATCGGTGGACGCAACGTCGAGGCTACCGAGCGTGGCCTCGAGCTGCTGCCGCAGTGCCTCCCGAGCGCCGCCCGCCGCGCTGCTCTCCCCATCTCCGGACCGGCGGTGGAACAGCCGCTTCAGGGCAAACCCGCGGCGCTTCTCGACCTTGGCTGCAAAGGCGGCCGACGCGACCGACGGGGCTCTTCGCAGCGGCGGCGGCGGGATCCCGATGGCAGAGTCCGCTGAACGCGTGTGTATGACGGACGACTCGGGCTCTGGGTTGTCCGGGCGGATGATGATGGGGAGATATGGCTCCGGGTCCTTGCCGTTTCGAGCCTCTCGGGCGGCTTCCTCCTCGGCGGCCTTGCGCTGCTCCTCGTCCTCTTGCTTCTGGCGGTCCTCGCTGGCGTTGCGCTCCCTGACGACGTCGATGGAGGACGCGACAATGTCGAGCAGTATCTGGCATGTGACGTTGGGCGTCTTCCTGAGCAGCGAAGGCGGCTCGTACGTGTGCCAGTCCACATCTTCTAGGTCGACGTCGGGGAGGTTGTCCGCCGACCACGCCGTCTCGCGGTCCTTGCTCCTCCAGTGGTTCTGGAGCTGCTCGAGCACGGCAAAGGGGTCGTCGAAGTAGTCGACGTAGTCGCCGGGGGTGAAGGAGCCGTGGACTACGGCCTTGGAAAGCGGCCAGTCGGTCGGCTTGCGAGAGATGTTGGCGTCGTCGAAGGGGTCTGTCATTGTGGGTGTCGTCATGGTCGGTCTCGACACTGGTCAACAAGTAGCCTCACATCATGCTGGATAGACAACTATATGAAGAGGAACATTCTACATTATAAGGAACACATGGTCATGCGAGCAACAACAGCCGCCGCCGGAGCGGAGGCTGAGGCAAGGCACCGACGGAAGCCATGACAGCATGCGCGCCCGGCCACCCGGCAGGCAAGCTGGCTGCCAGGCAAGCAAGCAGGGAAGCAGGGCATCCTCCAGCAGCAGCCACATCGTGAAAAAGCTCCCAGTCCGTTTAGACGGCGCCGCCGCCACCCCAGGACAGCAGGACAAGGCGTCCTTGTTTGCCCGCCCAGGACAAAGTCAGCCCGGCGGCGACCGAGGAGTGATGCCTGCACGAAAGCATACCCAGTTGGAGGGGCGCACGTGGGAGGTTCCAGTGGGCTGGAGGGGGGGTTGGCACTTTGGAAGGCGCCCGACACTGCAGCTGAAGCCTCTAGCGCTTTGCGGGAGGGCAGGCCTGCAGCACAGCCACCCACCCACCCGCGTCGCCGAATCGGTTGACGGACTGACTTACTTGAGTCCTCGGTCAACGGTCGTTTTTGGCTCTGTGCTGTCTGGTGCTGCTAATTGTAGGTGTTGAAGATGAACTACTGATCGCTTGGCATGGCGTCTCCGGCGGGGACGTCCGGGTGTCGCCGGGCGCGGGTCCTTCCATGGATGGTGCTTCTAGCGCGCTTCCCGAAGTATCGAGGTCCGTCACCCTGGCGAAGACCGGTGCCCAAGCCGGGGTCGCGGTGTAAGCAAACAGAAGCTCCGGGGCGTTGCTCTTGGATCTGGATAAAGGGAGCACGAGAGCATACTAAAGCCGGTAGATGCGCAGCGATCGACCATGACGGGGCGAAGCCACCGCCGCCGCCAGGGACCAGTGCGCAGGCAGTCGCGATGGTTTCCCGTTCTGACTGCGGATATTAGACGGGCAAGGCTTCCATACGCCGTATGAGCAATCTGGAGTAGATCCGAAAGGAAATATGCCTTCTACGGTGTTTGCGGGGGAGTTTGCACAGCCATATGCAGATCCCCAGTCCATGCGTACCCCGACCTCGGCGTGACGATGAACGAACGGTGAAGCACGCGGGAGCGAATAATGGACATGAACAACAGGCTGGCTCTGATGAGATGCTCCAGTCAAACGTCTTGTGATAACGCCCGCGTTTCATTTAGGCACACTGCTCAAAACGTCTGCTCAAATCTTGGACTTTGGGCTTGCAAACTCGACCTTGTTGGTGCTATATGCTCGGTCAGTCGAAGCTCAACGGCAAATTGAGGAGCACTTCACTTACCACGTCCCGACCTGCTCCAGGCCAACTTCCACGACATCGCCGTCCTTGAGCCAGACCGGCGGCTTGCGGCCCATGCCCACGCCAGGTGGACTGCAGAGTCAGCGCATGGCCCGAGCCGAGGATATCAAAGAGCCAAAACACTTACGTTCCCGTGAAGATGAGGTCTCCGGGCATGAGCGTCACGCCGCGGCTCAGAAGCGCAATGGTCTTTCTGACGCCAAAGATCATTTCTGATGTCGATCCGTCCTGGGCTTGTCAGCATCGAGACTGCTAACCGGGTCAGTTGGCGGGTGGGCTTGCGCACCTGGCGAGTCTCGCCGTTGACCTTTGTCCAGATCTTGAGCTTCTCGGGGTCCTGGACGACACGGCCGCTGACAATGGCGGGCCCGTAGGGCGCCCACCCGTCGAAGCCCTTGCCGTGCGACCACTGGCTGCCGCCGTGCTTGATCTGCCAGTCGCGGTGCGAGACGTCGTTGCCGACGGCGTACCCCAGCACGCAGTCGAGGGCCTCAGACTCGGGCACATCCGTACACCGCTTGCTGATGACGACGACGAGCTCGCACTCGTAGTCGAGGCCCTCGCCCTCCTGGGCCATGGCATGTATGGGGATGGCGTCCGAGGGCCCCGCCAGCGCCGTGGCGGGCTTGTAGAAGAGGATGGGGAACTTGGGCTGGGCCATGCCCGTCTCGCGCGCGTGGTCCGCGTAGTTGAGGCCCAGGCAGCGCACGGTGCCGACGTCCGAGGGCGCCAGCGGCGGGAGCAGCAGCCGGATGTCGACGACCTGGTCCGTGACGCGGTGCGCGCCGAAGACGTCCCCCGCGATGACGCGCGCCCGCGTCGACTTGGAGACGTCGGTGCTGCCGCGCGGCAGGATGGCGTCGCCGTAGTACGTGCGGCCGTCCCGGGCGAGGAAGCGGACGAGGCGCTGGTGATGGGTGGTCAGCGATGTCGGCCTTCTTCAGCATGAGGGGAGGGCGGCGGCTTACAGAGAAGGTGGACATGGCGGGCACTGGCACTGGCGCTGTCCGGGTTTGGAACCAAAGTCAATCTGAGCTCAATCTGACGGCTTGGTTGCCGGCGAGGTGATCAACCCAAGGCGATGTTATGAGGCACCTTCTCGAGTCGTGGCTGGACGACCCTTTTTCGTCTGCGTTGAGATGTCAATGGGGAACCTTACACGCTTGAATATATGTATAGGTGTCGACGGCAGAGGCGTTATTAATCCACCAGTGACGAGTGCTCCGCACCGCCGGTGATGCACCTCCGCCGGTTCGGCTTGTCTTTGCTGGGTTGGGGGGCTGTCTTGGGGTTCAGTCTTGACTGGGAGGGCGGCACTAGCGTCGGTTGAGTGAGGCCCGAGCCTCTCTGCTCAGTACTCACTCGCTCACTCACTCTTCACCCGGCTCCTGTTATCCAGTGAACAGCAGCACCTCCACTGATATCCAGGCCGTCTGCCAGGCCGGTGGGCGGTCCGAAAGCCGCTGTGGGGCTGTGCGACTCGCCATGACAGGCAGCCTGTGGAGGGTCACGGTTCCATTGATTCCACCATCCAGCGCTCCAATTACCGGCGCCGGCAGGCCGTGGACGGTCACCGGGCACCCGAGCTCCCCCATTGGCCCGCTGTTGTGGGCTGCCCAACTACCTCGGAAGACGAGCTTCAATTCGAGCTTCGAGCTTTCCTCCCATCTTTTTTCACCATCCTTTGCGGCAACGTTGAAGCATCTCACAACACCGACGTGTCATACTGCAGCACTACCAAGCACACGGTTCACGATGCGTCTCTCCGGGCTCCAGAAAGAGGTCCTGGCGCTTTACCGCCAGTGCCTCCGCGAAAGCCGCAAGAAGCCCCAGGTACGGCCCGCCGACCCCAACCGTCGAAGCTGCCACTGCTTTGTGGCTGCCCCCTCGTGGCATGCGCCTGGCCATCAAGGTGCAAGCACAACATACCTTATCTATAGCTGACGACTCCCCGACAGAGCACGCGGGTGCACTTTGAAAACTTTGCCAGGTAAAACCTCACCGCAGGCAACACTCACAGCAGACGGCTTATGCTGACTGTGCTGCCCCAGAGCCGAGTTCGCAAAGAACCTGTCTATTGACAAGCGTGACTTTGCCGCCATCGAGTTCCTCCTCCGCAAGGGCCGCCGCCAGCTCGACGTCTACTCGTCCCCCGGCATCAAGGATGTCAGGTGAGGCCGGAGGCAACGACTCGCTGCCTCCTGCCTCGTGGCCCATGCGAGCCGTCATGTCGACACGCCAACGGCGTCGGCCAGCACTCGCGCGGGCCATGGCCCATCGACTTGCTCTTGTCGGCGCCGGCTAGCCCACTTGCTGGATCCGGCATCGACAGCTTCGGGTGACGCTTCTTCTGACGTACGGCATTGCAGCGTCTCGTGATGCGACCCATCTCCTTCTCGTGCATTGTTGTTGTTGTACAAAGCATTGCTGCCTTCTTTTGTTGCCATATCCGTCATCTTGAATAGGATACGTGCACAGGCACCCGCCAGGATGGCGACACTAGCATCTATCCCCGAAGCAAGTACGTCGCTACAGGGCGGTCGCGCTGTCAGGCCGTCGCAGCAACATCGACGAACAGCATCCTTTGAGAGGATTCGCCCGCGTTCTCGCGTTGTCGTCCTCTCTCGCCGCCCCAGCCGCGCCCGTCCTTCGGCCCGGAAGCCAAGTCAGCGGCCGCCAACGCACGACACACGCCGTCGCGCGGATACTTCTGATGAACGCGGCCACGAAGCTGCTCCTAGACTACGGCAACACGACGGCAACTCGAGGATCCCGCACAAGCCACCGGCGAAGCTTGGCAAGTCGGAGTATGGTGGGTGCGACATGGACCAGGCGGTCGAGACATCCCTGTCCGATGTCGACCTCGATTCATTTCCGCTTCCTCCGGCTCATGGCACCCAAGCACGCCAGATCGGCCATGCGAGCCATACTATGCGGGTAGACAACACCAAGCTAGACTCCTCTGACAAGCATCCTGCAACGTTCACTCGGCAACACCCAAGTCGTGCAAGGAGAAAACCCACATCGGGCTTCTATTCTGGCTTCCCCGACGTTGCAGCCGATATCGCTCGGTCCTCGAAGCACTCTTCGATTGATTCCATGCTCGTGGAAGCAATATCAAGGACCGTCGTCCAACAGCTTCGCCTATTCTCTGCCATCAAGCAGGGCAAGCGAGGGTTCACTCGCTCTCAGGGAGCAAATCATTCCGGCCCATTCGCCTCCGACTCTCAATCAAGAACCTCCAGTCAACGCGAAAGGTTGGATAGATTCACAAAGGACCTGCACACTTATGTCGAGGATATGGGCGTCAAGGGCAAGACGGTTCAGTCAACGCCAACCGCGACAGCGAAATCCGGCGATACGCTACACACTGTCTCGGCACTCATGCCATTCCGGCCAGAGTTTCGTGCCGCGGGACTCGCCGTGACGTCAAAGGACCAAGCAAGGCCTCGTGGCAAGGCAGATCAGCGCTGGATACCAAACCACCGTGGGTATGCCCCTAGCCGACGACGCCTAGACCACTCACAATATGACGGTCCCCACGAAAGGGAATCGAGTTCCAGCGCAAATACGGAGATAGCCTTTACCAGACCTCAAGACATGGACGAGTGGACATACGCGCTCATTGACGAGGCGCCGGTCCGCAAACATAGGCTTCACAGGCACGGCACGAAGCAGAAGAAGAGCAAGAAGCACTGTCTTCCTTGCTTTCCGGGAAGTGACGAGTTGACCCCAGACACCGACTGGGCACACTTCAGGCCGCCTCCGGTCAGCAACGCACCCAAACTAAGGCCACTTGCCGGTCCAGCTTCGAGGGTACCGACCGCCAAAGCACCCCCTCCGCCAACGAGCTCGCAACGAGCAAGGAGAGTCTCGAATCTTGTAGGCCCGACCGACCGTCCTGGAGAGAGAGAAATCGGGCGGGCCACCGAGAAGCAGTCTTCGAACGAGTTCCACCGTGGACGACCAGGGGCGGCTCAAAGTCGTCGCGTGCCTGCCGCAGTGAGGGGAGACGGTGCCGTGGGGAATGGCCGGATAGACTCTTCGCGTACGAAACCAAATTCGAAGCCAGGCGACGGTGCGCGGCCGGAGCCTCGCCCTCTCCGTTCTCAGTCGGACCGCGCGCGTCTGGATCGCGACGTGAAACAGTTTGAGCGCGAACTCTTGTCTCCCAGGCCATACCAGAGCCTTTCAGGCCATGGCACGTCCGAGGCCATGGGAGACGCACAGCCTAGTCGCGCTCCGGGTCTGTCACGGTCACGCGAGCCGGACTTTGCTCGTGAAGGCGAAGGCCGAGATTGCCCAATGTCGACCTTGGAAGAGGAGTTGGAAAGGACGGCGCGGCTGGTAGCGGGCACAAACGCACCGACTGGGAGCAAAGTATCGGGCCGACGGACGAGGCGACCGGCGAGCCCCCCTTCACTCTACGACCCCCATCATGTAGGCTTCTGTTGCCGGGCCAGCAGGGGGCATCCGTCGCGAGCCATTGCTCCTCCAAACATCCCAAAGAGAACATCGTCTATGCGCGGAAGCTGGAGTTCGCTCGAGCAGGACTTTGACGACCGAGAGATCGAAGACCGCGACGTCCTTCGAGGGCTGCACGTGGCCGCGTCTGCCGCCTGCGACGAAGAAGTGGATGCCTTTGTGCGCAACAGAACCGGGCTGCGGATCCGGCGGTTCCTGGCCGACCTCATGGCGCTGGAGGCGTTTGGGGATCCCCGCCCGGGCGAGGACAGCAGGCAGCGGGCCAGGAGAAGGCGAGCGGAAATGAGGAAGCTGAAGCAGCAAGTGAGGCGGTCCCGAGAGGTCGCCCTGACGGGAGGGCTCATTTGAGGTGGTATTGGATATCATGTACGTTCCCCAGACCAGAGAATTGTTTAGAGAGGGCTGCGGCCGGGGCTGCACATCACAGAAGGCTATTCTTAGAGCATTTGCATAGCGACTTCATATTGCAGTTCCTTGGGCTTCTTGGCTAGTTACCAAATCCTTTCAACTCATACTCATGAACCTAAGCGCACCAGTGGTCATCAGGCTACTCCCGTTGTTGAATTGGCGCTCTTACGCCTTTCCTTCAATGAGGGCTGCTTCCGCCGCTGCCTTTTTCTGCGCCTCTCGCTCCTCTCTCAGCTTGCGAATCCACGGGACAGGGATACCGCTCTTGATCCTCCAGTCCTCGGCATTCTTTTTGATGGAGGCGCCGAGCTCCTCTCTCCACCCACCCTTCATGTCGTCGGCCCAGCCCATGTCGCCGAGCGCCCAGGAGAGGACGCTCTCGGCGCGGGCGCCCTCCGGGGCGTCGAGCAGGCCGACGGCGAGGTCGACCATGTCGGGCCGGTCGTCGACGGCGTAGAAGACGGACGCGCTGCAGCGGGAGCAAAAGTAGCGCTGAACGTCGTCGGAGCTGGCGTAGTAGGCCAGCGTGCCGAGGCGGGGGTCGCGGTCCGCGGCGGGGACGGAGACGGCGGCCTTGAGGTCGAGGGAGGAGTCTGGGAACGAAGAGGTGGATGTGGATGTGGATGTGGAGGTGGAGGTGGAAGGGGCAAAGTCAATGTGCTTGAGCAGCGCAAAGGTCCAGTTGATGACGTCGGTGCCAAAGGAGGTGCGGCACGAGTCGCAGGCGTCGAAGCTGGCGAGCAGCTTGTGCGTGGCCGGCTCGACGAAGAAGGGCAGCTGCGAGGCGTCCTTGAGGGCGGAGAAGTCGGCGGCCGCGGCGCCGCGGCGCAGGACGAGGTCGACGCCCCGGCAGCGGCAGTGCACGGGGACGGACTCGGGGGGCGTCGTCTTGGGGTGACAGGCCCGTGCCTGCGCGGCCATGTCGGCCGGGTCGACGGGCTCGCTCTTGTCGCGCCATCCGGCGTAGCACGGGATCGGGCCACCGGAGGAAGAAGAGTCGCCCAGCAGATGGCGCATCCAGACCGCCGCACCGCCGTCAACGGTATCGCCCACAAAGATATGGTCCTTCACACGGAGCAGCCCCCCGCCGCCCGGCACATCGTTATTCGACAACACGCCCATAAACGCCTCGAACCCACCATCGCCGTTCCCGCTGGCCGCGCCGGGCTCCAGCTGCGGCGCCTCGTCGCCGTCGCCCCAGAACATGGGGCTCCCGCAGGCGCCGCAGAAGAGGATCTTGAGGCGCGGCGAGAAGTCGTACTCGCGGAGGCGCAGGGCGCGCACGGCGGCCGGGTCGCCGGGCCACTTGACGCTCGAGGAGTGCAGCGCGCCCGTCATGTGCCGGCAGGAGGTGCAGTGGCAGTAGGTGCCCTCGAGGGGGAGAGAGGAAGCTGGGAGGGAGGCGGTGACGGAGTGGGCCTTGCAGAGGCAGCGGGCGGTGATGGTGATGGGGGGGTCGGTAGTGTTGTCGGAAGCCATTGTGTTTGTTGGCGTCGCCTGTGTGAGGCCTTGCGTGTGTGTGGTTGTGCGTGTGTGGTGAGGGACAGTATGAGAGGAGATGAGACGGCGTTTACTTCAGAAACAGCCACGCTCCGTGTAAAGAGTCAATGTAATGCGATGCGACGGAGTTGACAAGTCGAGTTCAGGCCACTGGGTTCAGGCTCATCTGAATCCAATGCCTGCCTTTTGTAAGCAATCGAGTAAAACGGACAAGGCACGCGCAGGGGGGGTTATTAGCTGCATTCACGCTGCCCAGGGGGCGGCATCGTGAAATTCTACGAGTGACGTGGGCAGGGCGTGATGGGCATGCATTGCGGGGGTGGGGGGGCTGAAGAGAACTGGGGCAGTCAGTTCTGGACTCCTGGGAGCAGTACCTAACAAGGGGCGAAGAGGCGGCTTGCTTATCACCACTTCAGCGGCTGGGATCGGCGGCTGCCCCCAAACTGGGCGATTCACGGGTTTCTTAGCATTTCCAAGTCAATGGAGTGCGGAGATGACTATTTGTGGCTGTCGCACTTTTTTGAGGAGATGCTTCGTGTTCTGGATTGATTTCTGAGGACTGAAGAGTAAGGTGGTACTTGGATATGCATGCACTCTGTCTGTGCGTGGCGGCGGCTCAACCCCACGCCGTGTAAGTGTAAGCTGTGAAGCACACAAACCAGCACGACAACGACAACAACAACATCAACGCACACACCCCGCAACGGCCCGTTTCGCTTTATCGCCCAGGCGGACCGGCCAAGCACACAAACTTACGGCCAGCCTTGTCCTCCAGCGCGTTGAGCACCAGGTTCCAGACATTCACGTCGACGGCCTCGCCAATGTGTCCCACGGGATCCAGCGGGCAGTAGTCCTGCACGTAGATGTTGTGCACGCCCGGCTCGTCGACAAACGACGTCCGCGTCGGCGTCACCAGCTCGTCGGCCCGCGACGTAATCACCGTGACGGCCTGGCCCGGCTGCGCAATCGGCCTCCCGTCGCCGCTGAGGCGCCGCACCGCGCCGCCGTCGGGCCCCAGGTCGTCGCACGCGGCGCACCCCACGGCGCGCAGCACCGCCCCGACCGCCTCGCGGCTGCCGCTGCCGAACACGTACGCGAGGTTGTACAGCCCCGCGAAGCTGGTGCCGTGCGTGGGCGGCGCGATGGCCACCACGCGGCCCACGTCGCTGGCCGCCAGCCCGCCCAGCTTGGGCGTGTAGAGCGCCTGGAAGCCGCCCTCGGAGTGGCCCACGAGGTCGACCTTGGCGGCCCCCGTGCGCGCCTGCACCTCGCGCACGAAGGAGGCGATCTCGAGCGACGACTCGGCGATGGGCTTGAGGCCGCCGAGGATGGGCACGTAGGGCGCGTACGAGCCGTACGTCAGCGCAAAGGTGCAGAAGCCGCGCGCACGCAGCCACACCTCGAGGAAGTTGAGGTCGATTTGCTCGCTGGCGCCGAGGCCGTGCAGGAGGACCACCGGCGAGGGGTGCAAGCTGCTCCGGCATGAGAAGTCGTTGCTCCGGAGCGCGGTCGAGGTGTTGCCCGGCGTGACGGCGCGCGAGTCGGCAGTTGTGGTGGTGATGGTGGTGTCCGCGAGGGGGACGGGGCTCGCAAGGACACCCGTCAGGGAGGCGAGCGCCAGAGCAAGATTTCGCATGACGGCCATGTTGACTTATAAAGAGGCAGCCCCTGAGAGGGGCGTATTCATGAAGTAGTTGCGCGCGAAACCGCCGTTCGGCCGGTCCATCGTCGACAGAGCCTGGGGTCACCCTGCGTCTTATAGGCTTTACGCGGATCGCGATGGTTCCTAGCTTGCACCTGTCCATCTCGTCTCGCACCTGCTAGACAATCGCAAACATGGCAAAGCGCTTGCAACCTTGCAGCCCGCTTCTCCGCGATGTGGCCCAGACGATGGACCGCAGTCACACGCGGAGCCCGCCGTCCTCTCCGTCTCCGCTCGACGACACGGCATGGTCCGGACATGCACCGCTGGCAGGCGACTGGGCCTCGGCATGTAACTCGACGCCAACGTCGTCCCATGGGACAGCATCTCGAGATCGTCCGTGCGCCATGCTAGCCCGGATCGTGAGTGAGTAGCAGTGTCATGCTCTTGCAGCCCTATAGGCGGGGGGGCCAGATGGGAAAGGGCAGTGATGTGCCCGCGTGGATGAGGGGGGAAAGGAAGCAACACTTGTTGGCCAACCTTGTTCGCGGCTCACCGTTCAACTGCCAGCGGTGTCGCCGGGGCCGGCAACACTCGCACGTCCGATGCTACGCTGCGGAAGAGGTCCTCTCCCCCATGGGGTTAGCCATTATGCGGGGGAGGGGCGCTATGGAGATTGATTCTTTGGGATGGAGAGCGGCGATGGGATGGATTGAGATGGGATAGGGTTGTGCTGGAGGGGAGACGGGCATTGATCGGCCCACCGCAACAGCATGGCCGTTAAAAACTTCCGATATGCGGGCTGCGAAGCTGCGCATCGGGGCTTTCCCAAACGTAGCCTGGACTGCTCCAGGCCCATGGTCGAGCCATTGACGATCTGCTGTGATGCTCTCCTCTCCTCAACTAGTATCACCATCAACTGCCATCACGAAACCCACCAACTCGGGTTGGTTGCGGGGTAGCATGCTACCAGGCCTTTGCACGAGCTCGACGATTCGATGTTGGGCAGAGCAATCGCCTCTACTGCCGTCTGCCGAGGATCTCGGCCTCTTGGCTGGAAGACGGGGACAAATCAATTCGGTCACCACCGCCGCCAGTTTTCTCACCAAGTTACTCAAAGCCGAGGGAGAGCATTCCGGAGAGCGGGTGTTGCTCGATCAAGGCGTATGAGCGTGGGGTGTAAGCTGGGGGAAACCTGCTTGCCGTTGCCTTTCATGCTGCGCATGTACATGCTAGTATGTACGAAGGAGCGCCTTTGAGAAAAGCTGATATAGTGCAGCTTTCTTCGACATTGTTGCTGTGGAATCGTGGAGGAGTGCAGGTGTACTGAGCCATTGCGACGCTCCTGCTGCTGCTGCTCGTTGCTGTGGCTGAAGTGAAGATGTGAGGTTGACACGATGCCGTGATGCATAAACTGCGTGCAGAAACATAATGGCGGTGCTCCAGCTGCCAAGACATCCCTGTGGCTGAACTGCAGCGTGCAGACCAGGCGGGCGGGAAGGGCGGCAAGCGAAAGCCCATGGTGAGGTTGAACGCGCCACACCACACTCCCGTCCTTTCTTCCCCGCATCCGTCACACTGCCCCCGGGCCCAGGCAGCACCAACTCATTCAGCCCGTCCGTCAGCCCATCAATCAATCTATTCTTCGGCCAACAACCACAATCGGTCTCCGAGTTTCACGTCTCACATCAAAGTGCGCACGTAATACCCGTCCTCCCTCGGCCGTATCGATCAATTCGAAGCACCGAGCAGCGCTGCGTCATCTCGATCGGACCGTGCCAGCATGCATCCGTCACCGTCGCTGGACGTGGCTGCGCTGGAGGCCGCTCGGGATAACTTCACCGTCGCCGAGAGCGACCACCGTCACTTTGCGCGATGCTGGGCCCATCAGACCTGCGGCGGGTGCCTCGATGAAACGAAGTGTAGCTGGTGTCCATATGTATGTATTTGACACTGGTTTCTCATTCTTTCGCATTCGGCTACTCACGGCTACGTAGACTTGGTCATGCGTCCCCAACTCATACATGATTCCGCTGCTGGCCCCGGCCTACCAGGCCGATATCTGCCCCCATCCCGCCGAGCGGTGGGAGCTGCGCTCGCAGCCCTTTGGCTGTGGCGTGTCGTCCACTACGAGCTTGACAGCCTTCGTCTCCATTGCCGCCACGCTGGCCGTCGCCGTCTTCGTCCTCCTCAACGCCGTTGCCGTAATGCGCTGGCGTCGCTACACCAAGCAGACGCCGCATTGGCGCGACGGGTGGGGGCAGCGCTGGCGAAAGGCCCTGGCTCCGGCGCGGGATCAGGAGCGAGCCCCGTTGCTTTCCAATGCAGAGGGCGTTCCCGCAGGCCACGGCAGCCCTTGACGACGGCGTTGGACGAGCTGGTGGGCTGGTCACTGCCATTCCAGCGAAACGCGGCATAGATGAGGCCACGAGCGCGGGTAGTCGGTGGGGAAGCCATTGACGGTGACTTGTCGCCCTTCATCCGGAGCTGACAGGAGGTATGATTGCGACCTCGTCCGCTTCCTGGATGACGGCGCCCTCATTGGAGCCATCCGCCGGCACATCTACATAGTCGAGGTTGACCGTCACCAGGCACGAGTCCAGAATCTTGGCCTTGAGACCCGGATGCCGCGCCTCCAGCTCGGCGAACAGCTTCCCCAGGGGCATCGGCGCCGGCAGGGCCTCTTGCTCCTTGCCCGTGAAGGAGCTGGCACTCGCGAAGTAGAGCACGTTGAAGTGTCCCGCGGGCGGGCTTGGGGCGGAAGACATCGCGGACAAGGAGCGGCTACTGGCCAAGAGCTCAGAGCTATCTGTACTTTTCAATGCGTTAGCCACAGCTTCTAGCAGCGTGGTCGTCGGATAGAAAATGGCGTAAATGGCGTCTTGGTCAGAGATCTTGGTGATAAATTGGTACATCAAAGAGTATTCAGGTAATACATGCTTTTTTGAAACATCATTCCAAGCGGTGCGGTAAAGAGAAAAGCTGGAGTGTGCGACTTACCATATGTGGCGGGCGTCTCTGGAAAAGACACTGAAGGAAAAGAGGAAAAAGCTGCGGATGGAGCTCGCCGGCGAAATTATATCTTGCCCGCCATTAGCTCCACGTGACCCCCACTGCCAGGACCGGCCTCCGGCGATGGCCTCAAGCCACTTCACGGGCTATTACCTTGTATGACATATCCCGCCATCCCGCTCTGCCCCTCCACAAGCTGCGCAGCGACGATCAGTGCACGACTCAAGCTCGTCAATTGGGTATCTTTGCGCTCGCATCCGCGTTCTAGGCCGCGCAGCTACGCCAGCTTGGCCATCCGCTCCTCCAGGTCCTTGACCCAGCCCTCCATGACCTTGACGTTGCCCTTGACTGTGGCGTCGCCGTCCTTCATCGCGCCCTCCATCTTGTCCAGGCCCTCCTTCCACTGCTTCAGCTCGCCCGTCATCTCGGCCTGCTGCGACTCGATGCGCTCCAGCGTCTGGCTCGCGGCCGCGGCATCGGCGTGTATGGCCCGGAGCGATCGCAGCCTGTCGAGGAGCGGCGGCAGTATGGGCGTCAGGTTCTCGATCGTAGGCAGGATGCCGTAGAGGGCGTTGATCTTTGCCTCTTGCTCCGACTCATCAGATGGGCTCGCGGGGCCGTGTTTGCCGAGCTCCTCTCGCAGCGCTTTGGCCTTTTCGCGTGACTCGTTGAGCTTGTCCTGTTCCGACGCTAGAGTCCGCACGCGTCGGCTTATCGCGTCCAGGTTCGCCGTGGATGCTTGCGACAGCGTCGAGATCTGCTTCTCCATCGAGTCAAGGGTCGGCAGAATGGCTCGCGGGAGGCCGTCCTGGCCTGCCTCGGGTGCGGACGTGGAGCTGATGCCCAGGGCCTTTTCCAGCATGAGCAGGCGCCGGTCGAAGTCGGCCGCCTTTGCCAGGGCGTGGCTCTGTTCGTAGCTCGGCGCGTACGTAACCGTGTACGTAGGACCGTCCGTCGCGACCACATCGTCGGACGGCGCTTTCGGTTGGAAAGCCTTCATGGTGCCGGGGCCGGGGCTCCCACCAAGAGGCGCTGACATGCCGTCCAGGAGCTGACTGAGTGAATCCAGCCTCTCATCACTCGTCTCAGCCTCGCCCGTCTTCGCCGCAGCGTCAACCTTGCGCTTTGCATAGTCCTCCTTGGCCTCCGCGACCTCGCGCTTTAACCGTGCGATCCTTCTCTCCAGGCTTTCCTCGTCGTCATCGTCTGACAGGTCTCCAAGCTCCTCTGTGCCGTCTTCGAGTATTCGCTGGCGCCGGCTGGACGCCTTGTACGACTTGCGTTTTCCGTCGACGCGGTCCGAAAAGTCCACCCCATTGGCGTCAACGTTGGCTGGCAGGAAGCGCGAGCGAGCCTCGTTTATGCGGAGCCTCGATCGCGAGATGGCCTGGCTTTCATCCTCGTCGACATCATAGAATTCATCGTCCGACTGCGCGCGGTTGGCCGAAGTCTATGCGGGCGGCGTCGGATTAGCAAACAGCTAGTACCGCTGGAGGGCGATCAGGGCTTACGGGCACGGTTGAATTGTCGTCGGTAAGCTCGGGAGTCTCGTATATATCTGGTGCAGAATCCTGAGTAATGTCAGTCGAGGTGCGGCATCGAGCTTGCGTCAGGAGGACGGCGGGTTACCAAGTCGGGGAGAGCCGCGTATTTGCGGTTGAGCGCCATGATTGCGGGCGACGACCTGTTTTCTCCGCCTGGCTCTGGTCAGCGGCCAAGCTATTCCACGGGCCAGAAACGTTTGTCCGGTGCAGCTGGCCCGAGTGGTGGTGGGAGAGACGAGGAAACGAGCTTGGCGTTGTGGTGATGATGCTTGGGTTGAATCAACAACGGGAGCTTCCAGGGGTTACACAGTGCATGGGTCAGTGGACCGCGTACCTGTAGAGCCGCGCCTAACCCTGGAAGCTCCTGCGGGGCCAACGCAGTTCGTACCAGGAACTTTCGTTTCACCCGCCGCCCCACCACTCGCTTGTCGCTTCGAGTCGTCGCGTCCTCTTAACGCGTCAAAGTGACGAGGTGTCGACATCGATTGAAGCGCCCCTGTCTTCCTAGCCATCATTGCTGCTCCCCGCCAATGCGTTGCTCGGTAATGGGCCACCCAGGATAGCTCTGCCTGGGTCGGAATACAGCGTCGCCTTTGGCGTAGCTGCAACCCTGGGGAGTCCGTTCACCGGAGCGAGCAGTCAGAGCAGCCTTTGTCAAAGGCCAACGACCAAGGCAGCTGTTGAGCGGTGCCTCTCGGGCCATCCTATAAGTCGGTCATTTGTCCAAGGTCCTGGGAACTTTACCACGGTATGAGCAGCGTCATTCCTGGGACTTTGCCCGCCACTCTGCCTGCGCTCTCCATAACGAGCCCTCGCTTGTCGGACTGAACGCCCTTGCTTATTGACAAACGCTACGCCGAGGCCCTTTGGCGGAGGCCGGGCAAAATGTACCCATCACGGGTTCTAGGCTTAAGCAAAAACCAAAAGCCGCCGCCTCTTCTCAGCCAGGTCGGCAAGGAATCCGCCAAGAAGCCCACCTTTAAGCAGCTCAAGATTCCCAAGGCCTTTGACGACCCACCGGTATCTAGCGACGAGGATGACGACCAGGGAACGCCCATCAAGGCCCAGGAATCATCTAGCTCAGCTAAGCGTTCCAATGAGGACGCCGATCTCGACGCTTTGTTGCGCAGCTCTGGCAGCTCCGGTGACGAAAGGGCCACCCGAGGTGGCATTCGCCGCACATCATTTCGGGGGAAAACAGGAAACGCGAAGAGGAAAAGCGACGACGATGACCCTGACAGTTCGCAAGGCGCTGATCATATAACTTCCACATCCGCTTCCACCAAGAGACGGAGGGTGAATGGCAAGGGCACGACATACGGGGGCGGCAGTGGCCACTCGCAGGCGCCAGCCAGCTCGGCAGAGCATTTGCAGGACGAGCGAGGCTTCACCAAGGTCAGGGCCTCCAAGGCTACATACGGGAAGAAAAAGTCGTCGTCCCAGTCACAGACAGACAAAGAGGGTGCGAAAACGCTTGGAACCCCAATACATGTGTATGGCTAACCCGATCCAGAAGTCAAGAAAGTGGCCAAGTTGAAGTTGCACGTACCAGAGCCTTTGGTCAGCCCTGAAAAGCCCAAGGCAGGAAAACTACGAGCTCCCAGCGGCTCGCCACCTCCGCCGTCGACGGAGTCCTCGTTGAAACTTACGCAAGGAAGCGGCGACGAAAAGTTGAAGACGATCGTCTCTCCCCCACGCAGGAAGCAGGTTTTCAAGACCGTCAACTCGATAGAATCGTTGTTGTCCGCCAAGCAGAAGAAACCAAGGCTGCGAGCAAAGAAGCACGCCGTGGCGGCCAGGTCCCCCTCTCCGCCCCCGGCCGTTTTCAAGATGCCCACCTCCTTCTCTCAGTTCAAAGTCCAGGCAGGCGAGGGTGGCGAGGGTCACTTGCCTGGCATAGACTCGGACTCGGACGATAGCATAGCCATCGTCGAGAAGGCTGACACCGAGGCCGAGGCTGATGCAGCTGCGACGACGTGCCCATGGTGCGGCGAGCCTGTCGACAAGGCGGCGCTGAACGACTTCTCCAAGGGCAAGCGGATGAATGTCCGGCAACAGACAAAGTTTTGTCAGAAACACAGAAAGCAGACGGCCCTCGAGACGTGGCAAGCCAAGGGTTACCCCGACGTACAGTGGCACGACCTCACCGAGCGCTTCGCAAAGCACCGGGGTCACCTCCTCGGAATTGTCAACGGCAATGCCTCGCACTACCGCTCCATCCTGGCAGATCGCATCGCCTCTGGGCAGGCCCGCTCCCTGCGCAAGGAGGACAACCTGAATCCGGGGTACTACGGCCCACGGGGGTTCAACCTCATGTGCGACTATCTCGTCGGCGAGTTCAGCGACCTGCTCAAGACGCGCGCCGTCGACGACCGGGTCATCGCCGGGCGCGGCTCCGCGGCGTTTATACAGGCGGTGCTGGTGGCGGAGCTAGCTGTGCGGCTCGTCGAGGATGACATGGGGGTTGGCGAGGAGGAAGCTAGACGGATCATGGAGGAGAGTAAGACGATTGGCGAACTGGTCCACGAGGAGCAGTGAGACGGCGTGGATTTGATGGTGACGGACAGAACTGGGCTGGGCTGGAGCTTTGTGCACATCATATCATAGCGAGGGCATGTGAGGAGTTCAATTGCTGGTGTGGCAGCGTTTAACATCATTACGCATTGATTTCCTTGGTCTATATTGCACTAGCTGAGCATGCCGATTTGGCGACACATGTGTCAGATGTTCCTGTCTTTCGTACTTCATAAATGCGGCCGCATTACAGCAGCAGCGCAACCGCCTCCCACGGCCCGAGGCGAATCTCCCCACCATTGACGTCCTTGACCCCCTTACCCGCAGAGCTCACCAGCACCTCGCGCGCCTTGCCCTCCCACTTCCAGGCCTCGTCGCCATCGGAAAAGTTGCAGACGATGAGAGCGGCGTCCCCGTTGGCGGTGGCCCTGCGCTCGTAGGCAAAGACCTTGTCGCTGGCCTCGTCGACGAGGGCAAAGTCGCCGTAGACGAAGACGTCCTTGTGGGCCTTGCGCTGCTCGAGGACGCGGCGCCAGGTGTGGTAGACGGAGCGCGGGTCCGACGTCTGGGACGCGGCGTTGACCGTCTTGTAGTTGTCGTTGACGCGCATCCAGGGCGTGGCGCCGGCGGTGGTGAAGCCGCCGTGGGGGCTGGCGTCCCACTGCATGGGCGTGCGGGCGTTGTCGCGCGACTTCTTTTGGTATTCGGCCTTGAGCTGTGTCTTGGTCTCTTCGTCGGCCGTGTCCTTGTACAGGCTTTCGGGGTGTCAGCTATGAACCGCGGAAGCCAGAGAGTCCGGCAAGCAGAGGAGCCGGAGGAAGGGAGGGGGAAAGGTGTTGAAAACTCACGCCCAGTGGTTGACGCAGTCAACGTCCTTGTACTCGTCCATGGCCCAGTCCTTGGGCACGTTGGTCATGCCAATCTCCTGGCCCTGGTAGATGAAGGGAGTGCCGGCCTGGAAGCCGAGGAAGATGGCGATGAGCTTGGCGCTCGCGGCGCGGTGCTCCGGGGCGTCGCTGGTGAAGCGGCTGACGGAGCGCGGCTGATCGTGGTTCTCGAGGTAGAGGGCGTTCCAGCCGTTGCGGTCGTACATGAGCCTCTGCCACTTGTTGACAATCTTCTTGAGTTCAGACAGGGACCATGTCCGGGGTGAGAATTTACCCTTGGGGCCGTGGTCGACGTCCATCCTGAGCTGGTCAGCGCGTGTTGTAAGTGAGGCCATGACGGGGCTTCTCCTACAGCTCAAAGTGGAAAATCATGCTCAGCTCGTCGCGGCCTGCGCCGACGGCCTTCATAATCTCATTCGTGTCATGAACGCATGGCATCTCGCCGACGCTAAAGGCGTCATACTCCTTGAGGATGGCGCCCAGCTCCTGGAGATACTCGTGCAGCCTGGGCCCGCAGGCATAGAACTCGTGGCCCTTGAGCACGGCCTCATTCGAGTCCGGGAAGGACTGGTCCTTGCTGATGAAGTTGATGACGTCGATGCGGAAGCCGTCGGCGCCGCGGTCGAGCCAGAAGCGCATCACGTCGTGGGCGGCGCGGCGGACGGCCGGGTTCTCCCAGTTGAGGTCGGGCTGCTCGCGGCAGAAGAGGCGCAAGTAGTACTCATCGGTGGCCTCGTCGTACTCCCAGGCGCTGCCCTGGAAGTGGCTCTCCCAGTTGTTGGGGGGCTGGCGGTTGCCCTGGGCGTCGTACCGCGGCGGGCGCCAGATGTACCAGTCGCGGAAGGGGTTGTCCTTTGACTTGCGCGACTCCTGGAACCAGGGGTGCTCGTCGCTGGTGTGGTTCATGACGAGGTCGAGGACAAGCTTCATGCCGCGCTCGTGCAGCCTGTCGCGCAGGACGTCGACGTCGGAGATGTCGCCATAGGGGGGGTCTATAGACTTGTAGTCGCTGATATCGTAGCCCTGAGAGGCAGTTCGCTGCGGTGTCAGCAGGTGATCCGGGACATCGCGAATCTCACTGAAGCGGTGGCGGCGGCGCGCATACCATGTCATGTTGGGGGCTCTTGAAAATGGGCGACAGCCACACAATGTCGACGCCCAGATCCTTGAGGTAGTCGACGCGCGAGATGATGCCCTTGAGGTCACCGACACCAGTCCCGGTCGAATCCTGGAAGGACGCCGGGTAGATCTGGTAGACGGAGCTCTCCTTCCACCAGCTGCGCAGCTGCTCGGCTTGGGACCCCATGGCGATGATGGTTTCTAGTACTTCTACGACAATGCTCTCACGATCACGGAAAGCAGAGACGCAAGTTGGGAGGGAGGAGGGGAGAAGTTGTAGGAGGAGCGCGAGCTTCCCCTCCAGTCGAACGACGCTCCCTCTCCTACGGCTATATAATAAGTCGCGACCGCGACTCCATGGCACAGCATGATGTGGATTGCGGATGGCCGCTCAACCCAATACGGCAATTCGCCGTCGGGCAAAGAGTCGGAGGCGGCCCCATGGCGGCGGGGTCGCGTCCCATCGTCCCGCCGGTCTGCAACACCGCTCAGTGGGAAGGTTTCGTCATATTACTGGGCTGCGCGCGCCCAATTGGTGCTGGCAGCGGTTGTCGGACCGAGATGTCGCGATGGAGCGGATAATATTTCGGACTTTGGAGGGGTTGAATCGCATCCAGAGAGACATAATTTTGGGCGATTGGGATGGTGTGGTGGGGGGACAAAGAAGCTGCCTACCCTACATGGGATGTCACTCGAACGATTGAGGATTTTCCGGCCAGATTTCAAAAGCGACGTGCGTGTTTCAAGGATACGTGGCTCGGTGGGAGGCAATCGCTTGCTCACTGGGTTGCTACTCGTGCGGGTGCGGCACAGTACGGCACATGAGAATGAGGTTGAATCTTGAGTTGGCTCTTGGCGATGTGCTGTCGAGCGCCAAGCCGTTCACAAGCAAGACCGTGGTGGATCGCAATCACAGCCCCTCGTCGCTGATGATGGTCCTCATCTCCACGGGTATGAGCACGGGTGCAGGTCACGGTCGAGATGGCTTTTTGATACATAATTGCCAGTTTGTACATGAGCGGTCAATTGCTGCAATTTCAAACACCCCGATGGCCTACATTATGTGATCGAAACTGGAGAGAGCGGAGAGACGAGGTCGAAGCGCACTGGGGCCGGCACGGACCAGCTCGCGAGGTATGTATGCACTGGCACAGAAAGGCGAGGTAGGGGCATCACAGACCGCGCGAGACACCTTGCGCGGCGGCGACTTACGTGCAGATGCTATGGATCCGTACTTGATCAGATCCTCGACCCTGGCGACAGCGGGACACGGCGTCGCTCGTCCTCATCGCCGTCGCCGTCGGGACACGTCGCGGGCCATGCCGCGAGACACATTCGCGGCCCGGCCACCGGGTCGGCGGCGGCTGACGAGGAGCTTCCCATTCCTCCATCCGTCTCGCTGCACGCCTCAGACGGCCTCTCCTGCAGCCATTTGTGTCGCACCGCTGGCGTCACTCGTGGCCGCCGAGGCCTTGGGGGGTCGCGGCTGAGACACGCCCTGTCTGACCTTGTTTCTCGCATCGCCAACGGGACAGCCGCCACTGGGGCTTCCGCGACGGACGCGGCCGTGACTTGGACCCCGGCGTATGTTCTTGTGTGTTCACGCTGTTGTCGCTCTGCCGCCGCCGCTGCCGCGGCCGTCCTTGACCCGACCGACCGGGGGGGCCGCTGCCAGGCGACGCTGGCGAAGGGGGGACAGTTCGTTCAAAGCTGGTGGCTCCCGGCTGCGGGTGATGCCGCCAAGACAGGCAAGCTACCCTTTGACCAGGGTATTATTAGACTGCGAGCCGTGCTCCCGCGTCGTTGTTGCGGGTGGTGGTGGTCTTGGTGGTGGTGGTGGTGGACCGTGGTGCTGCGGATATGGTGGTGCCTGGACCTGAACGGCGGACTGGAAGCGAGACAGAGGCGCTGGGACCGCTGCACGACCTGCGCGCCATGGGCACTCGGCACATTTGGCGCCTCCTGCCCCTTCCTCCTTGCTCCTTCCTTTCCCTTCATCCCTCAGCACCCGCAGTCCGGTCGACCGCATAAACCGAGCCACAGGTTCGTTCCAAGTAATGCCATGCGCGGGGCGGGAGCAGCCCGTCCCCTCCTGGTACACAATATGTAGTGCCTACTTAGTAACTTAGTATGGACAATTGCAGCATGATTATGAGATTCCCGGGCTTTGCAAAAGCGGAAATGCCACGTCTGGTGGAGCTGGAGCCGCTGTCCAGGGCGGCCCCCCCGCCGCGGCCGACGTAGCCGACCCGGTAGGGCCCCCCTCCCCCCCTTCCACGATGATCGCCTCACGTAGCGCAAGCGGCGGGGGCACTCTTTTGATTGATTCTGTGCTGCAGCCTGGGCGGTTGGGCGGACAGCTCGCGACAGCCCATGCTCTGTTACAGGCTGGGGGCCCTGCTTTAAGGGCATGGGTCTTGCGGCCAGGTGAGGTAGTACCCGTCCCGCCAATCGTGAACGCCTCCAGCCTGGCGACGCCCAGGGAGGTGGCTCGGCCTCCACCGCCGCATAGCCGCCGCCGCCTTGCATGCACGCGACATTGACGAGACTGGACATTAGCTGCGTACCGCAGCACCCCAAGGACTGCTGCACCCCTCAACATTGCTGTTGCTGTGCTTCCTGTCCGTGCTGCGTTCCACTGCGGTGCATGCCACTCCGTCGCATGGGGTGGATGGATGGCTGGCTGGATGGATGCATCGTTGTCGCCAGCGGCGGTGGGTTGGCGGGCAGCTAGGTAGGCCCACGGTAGGTAGCAGCCAGCTGGAGCTGAGGCGGCGGCGGCGCATCCCCCGGACCCGGGCGTTTGTGCGGGCCAAAGTTCCCACCGCGCTTCGGCGTTGGAGCCTCCCAGCACCAACCACCGGCGCCACCAGCAGTTGATTTGAGATGGGGAGACGAAGCAGTCCCCCCAGTTTCAATCCAATTGTCGCTAGCAGCGGCGCGGTCGCGGCAGCGGGCGGGAGCAGCCCAGCTCTCTCGCTTTGGCACAAGCTTCGCGCAGCTGAGGTTAGTTTAGTTCAAAGTACTCCGTACTGCAGCACCAGATATTCGCAGTCGAGGCACGAGCGGGCAGGTATTGCCACACCCACTCGCGCACCCCCTCCCCAGCAAAGCAAATACCTTGCCTTGCCTGCCAGACAGCCCGTCGCCTCATCAATCACACCCGCCCGACTCCGTCCAACCAACAACCCCCAAGGCTCCATCCGTCCAGCCCATCTCGACACCGAGCCCGTCTCCTGCCCGGACTCGCACCTCAACGTGCATCCAGCATCGACCGCCTTCCCCCCCACCGCGAGACGACCGCGAAGCCGTCGCCTCAAACAGCCGCCAGCTCATCCCGCCCGAGCCCGCTCGTTCGACTCGCCCCGGCAGCGCACAAGCATGTTGAGCATCGCGCCGACGAGGACATGAAACCCTGCCCGACAGGCTGCACCGCCCATCGCATCGCCGTCACCGCCGCCGCCGCCGCCCTCATCGACGGCAGCAATCCCCTCAACGCCCTCTGGCTCCCCCGGACGAATGACATGGCCCAGGCCTCCTCCGCGACGGCCTGCCGCTGGTGATCATGTCCGACAATGACGCCGCCGCCGTCTCCCGCATCAGCTCCATCACGAGCGCGAGCCACAGCACCGACAGCAGCACCCGCTCGACGACAACGGTGAGGCCCACGCCCTCGACGCCCGCCTCGTCCGCGCGCCGCGGCTCCAACCACCAACCCCAGAGCCACAGCCAGAGCGGCCGCCACAACCACCACCACATGCGCATCAGCACGGACGAGAGCAACAGCCCGTATCACGCCAGCCGCAGGAGGTGAGCCCGCCAGTCCCCTTGTCCGTGCCTCTCTCCTCTTCTCTAACGCATCATGTCTCGCGCGCGCAGGGCCTCGAGAGACGACGGCCAAGTGTCGCCGACGTCGACGACTGCCGCCGGCCGCGGCCCCCTCTCGCCCTCATCGACGACGTCGAGCGTCTCCGTGCCCGACCGCCGCCTCAGCGACCTCACCAACTACCGCCGCGACCTGGCCGCCATCGACGGGTCGCAGGGAGGAGGCTCGCGCAATGCCTCGATAGGCGGCAGCGCGGGCGGCGGCATCTCGCTGGCCAGCACCAGCTCGTACGCGGCGCCGTGGATGTCGATGGGGGGCAGCGTGCCGTCGCGCGGGCTGCCGACAAGCTTCTACAACGACTCGAGCGACAGCCTGTCGGTGGCCTCGCAGCTGTCGCCCGCGCTGCCGTCGTCGGCAACGTTTGGTGGAGCGTCAGCATCATCGGCGTCGGCATCTGCAGCACCGTTCCACGCTGGAGCACCGTCCGCCGCAGCAGCAGGCCTAGCAGGCCCCGCCCGCCCATTCGCCGCACCACAACCGCCGCTGGGGCCTGGGGCGCCCCACGAGTCGCCCGACGCGGCCTATTTCAGTCCCGACGCAAGGCGACCCTCGGTGGCTAGCGTCACCACAACGGCCAGCAGCCAGGGCTCCAAGGCTAGCGTCACCCGTGGCGGCTTCCGCAAACTCCAGGGCTTTTTCGGTGAGGAGTTTCCTGGCCGCGACAGCTCCGAGAGCAGCCTCCCCATCTCGCTCGGCAAGGACCAGCGCTCGCGGTCCTACAGCCATACCAGGCCCTCGCATCGCGACCGCAACTACTCCAATGCCACGGATCCTCGCGACGCCTCGCCTTCCTCGTCGCGGCCGCGAACCCCTGTGCCCGCGCCCGAGGTCGTCCCCTTTCTCTACCAGGACAATACTGTACGTGCCGTCCACCGTCTCCCCGTCTTGCCCCTTGCTGGTTTTTTCCCCCGTTCTCGTGCCTCTCTCCCGCCTGGCGAGGCGACGACTTTACATGCCGCGCAACAATTGAAACGCTTCTGCCTCGTCTTGCCGGTACCCACTCCTTCCGGCCTGCAATGCGCCCTGCACCAGTACTGCTTGCCAACGGTGCGGCGCTGCGGCAGATGCGGTAGATGCTCTCATCCTGTGCCGCCGGCTCGCCTGCGCCCGCCCCGCCTTCCATCCCAGCGCCCCCCTTCTCCGCCTGCTCGTCTTTCGTCTCATCTATCCCCGGGTCTGACCTTGATTACCACAGGACATTGCGCGGTACGGCGAGGCGCCCGTCCGAGATTTCATGACCGGCCCCGACCGAGAACGATACGCCAGCACCGAAAGCACAACGTCACAGGTGCCGCCCAAGTCCTCCTCGTCTGCGCGATCCGGCGGCGTGCACCTCCCGGGCCACCACTACCACCGCCACAATAAAAGCAATGAGGACCCGCGAACACTGAGGCCGAGCGTCAGCAGGGAAGATACGCTCGCTACAAGCTACCCCCGCGAACGGGGTCCGTCGGTCCCCATGAACATTCAACGGTCAAGGGCGCATAGCCCGACCCCGAGCGCCATCAGCGGCCCGCCCCCGGGTTCCAGGTCCGGCCATGCCGACGGCCAGACCTCGCCTGGTCATCATGGCAAACGGGGTCTGCTCGGTCGCCTGCGGAGGCACAAGGACAAGGACGATGGGTCCAAGCTGCGCGACATGCCCTCGTCGACCAGGTCTCTGCAGCCCAAGGGATCGCGGGCGGACATTTCGCGGGCGGACATGTCTCCGTCGCCTTTCCCAGGCGCCTACTGGCCCAGCGCGTCGGATATGAGTGACTCGCAGGACCCTCGCGCGGCGGCGCAGCGGGCGGCGACTTTTAACAACAAGTTCCCGTTTTCTAAGAAGGGCCGCACGCAGCGAGGCATCGACTACACCGAAGAAGCCATCGGGCCCACCGACCGAAACGACCCGGGCCATGTATACCATCTCGACACAAACCTCAACGACATGGAGGGTATCCTGACCAAGCCTCCCCAGCTACCCCCGATGGACGTATCCTTTGTCAACAGCCTCTATGGCGACCGCAAGGAATCGCTCGCTGAGCCCAAGGGCGGCTGGGATGCCCCAGACAGCTGGGCCGTCCGTCGCGGCACCGAGGAGCGGTCGAATCATACCACCGACGTGGACGAGATTGGCAGCCCGCCACGGCCAGAGGAGAAGCTGGCGCCATATTTCATTCGCATCTTCCGGTCCGACGGCACGTTTTCCACGCACTCGATGGCTCTAGACTCGACCGTCACCGACGTAATCTCTCAGGTTGTCAAGAAGACGTATGTTGTGGACGGCTTGGAGAATTACCACATTATTATGAAGAAGCACGACTTGATACGTGTTCTGACGCCTCCCGAGCGGCCATTGCTCATGCAGAAGCGGCTGTTGCAGCAGGTCGGGTACGAAGAGAAAGACAGGATAGAAGAGCTAGGACGTGAGGACAATGGCTACCTCTGTCGGTTCATGTTCCTGTCCGCCAGAGAGAGCGACTTTCACGCTCGGACGACCGACCTTGGCATCACTCGCTCTCAAAAGCTCAACTACGTCGACCTCTCTGGCCGCAATCTCGTCACGATTCCCATCTCTCTCTACCTCAAGGCCTCCGACATCATCTCTCTGAACCTGTCGCGCAACCTGTCACTGGACGTACCGCGAGACTTCATCCAGTCCTGCAAACACCTCAGAGACATCAAGTTCACCAACAACGAAGCAAGGAAGCTGCCTCTGAGTCTGGGTCGGGCTGGCAAGCTGACGTATCTCGACATCTCCAACAACAGAGTCGAGCAGCTTGAGCACGCCGAACTAGGGGGCCTCACTGGCCTCCTCAAGATGAACCTTGCCAACAACAGACTGACTCACCTACCCCCGTCCTTTGGCGCGTATCAGGCGCTAAGAAGCCTCAACATCTCTTCCAACTTCCTCGATATGTTCCCGCCCTTCCTTTGCGAGCTGCACAGCCTCGTAGATCTCGATCTCAGCTTCAACGCCATTGCGACCTTGCCTGAAGAGATTGGCAACCTGAAGAACCTCGAGAAGCTTCTCATCACTAATAACCGACTCTCAGCAGAGGTTCCGCACGGCTTCCGTCAGCTCATTAGCTTGCGTGAGCTCGATATCAAGTACAACTCCATCACGAGCATCGACATCATCTCGGAGCTTCCCAAACTGGAGCTTCTGTATGCCGCCCACAACCACGTCTCCTCCTTTGTGGGCAGGTTTGAACGCATTCGCCAGCTGAAGCTCAACTCGAACCCTCTGAACAAGTTTGAGATTATCGAGCCGGTGCCGACCCTGAAGACTTTGAATCTGTCACACGCCCAGCTGGCCAGCATTGACTCGGCCTTTTCCAATATGATGAACCTGGAGCGCCTTGTTCTGGACAAGAACTATTTCGTTTCCTTGCCACAGCAGATTGGAGCCCTGAGCAGGCTTGAGCACTTCAGCATCGCGAATAACTCGGTGGGCGAGCTGCCGCCGCAGATCGGGTGCCTCACTGAGCTGCGCGTCCTTGATGTTCGCGGCAACAACATCTCCAAGCTCCCCATGGAGATTTGGTGGGCAAACAAGCTTGAGACGTTCAACGCATCGTCCAACGTACTCGAGGTGTTCCCCAAGCCGGCATCGAGACCCCCTCGGCTGCCAGGAGAAGACTCGTCCGGGCCGCCTCCGGTGCAGAATGGCAAGGCTCTGCCGCTGGCTACGCTGCCATCCACCCCGAGCTCCGAAGAACTCTCGGACGAGCGGAGGCCAAGCCAGGCGTCCAGCACCCTGCTCAGTGTTGGCCCGTCACCGGTCCAAAACGGGGAGAACCGGAAGAGCTCCGTCGTTTCTGTCTACGGCAAGGGCGGCCGGAAGACATCCGTCGTCTCTAGAGCCGCGTCACAGGGGACACAGGGAACAGCGTCTAGTAGCACGCCACCGGCAACCGTGAGGAAAGACTCAGGTTTGTCCTCGAGGTTAACAAACACCTTTGCGGGGTCTCTGCGCAACTTGTACCTCGCCGACAATCGCCTGGATGACGATGTATTTGACCAGATCACGTTGCTGAGCGAGCTTCGGGTCCTGAATCTGTCGTACAACGACGAGATTAGCGACATGCCCCAGAGATCCATCAAGAGCTGGCCGCAACTGGTGGAGCTGTACTTGTCTGGCAATGGTCTTACGACCGTTCCGGCGGACGACTTGGAGGAGTCGAGCCTTCTTCAGGCGCTGTATATCAACAGCAACAAGTTCACCAACCTGCCGGCCGACATTTCTAGGGCCAAGAAGCTCGCGGTCCTCGACTGCGGCAGCAACTCGCTGAAGTACAATATTTCCAACGTGCCTTATGATTGGAACTGGAACCTGAACCCGAACCTACGATACCTCAACCTGTCCGGCAACAAGCGGTTAGAGATCAAGCAGACTGCTTGGGGAGGCATCGACGGGCCGGGCGCCGTGAACCGGGAACAGTACACGGACTTCAACCGACTGGTGAACTTGAGGGTCCTGGGCCTGATGGACGTCACCCTGACACAGCCAAGCATTCCGGATCAGAGCGAAGATCGTCGTGTGCGCACGTCTGGCTCGCTGGCCGGCCACCTCCCTTACGGCATGGCCGACACGCTCGGTAAGAACGAGCATCTGTCGACAGTCGATCTGGTCGTACCCCGCTTCAACTCGGCCGAGACGCAGATGCTCTTGGGGTTGTTCGACGGACAAGCCCTCTCTAGCGGCGGCTCCAAGATTGCCAAGTACCTGCACGAGAACTTTGGGCACATCTTTGCCTCGGAGCTTAAGAACCTCAAGCTCCGCTCAGGCGAGACCCCCGCCGACGCTCTGCGTCGGGCATTCCTGGCACTCAACAAGGACCTCGTGACCATTGCCGTCCAGCACACTGAAGAGCGGCCCAAGACGACGCATAGGGGATCGGCGCAGCCGGTCGTTCTGAGCAAGGAGGACTTGAACTCGGGTGGCGTCGCCACTGTCGCCTACCTTGAGGGCACCGAGCTCTACGTCGCCAACGTCGGCGACGCGCAGGCCATGGTCATCCACACCGACGGGAAGCACCAGATGCTCACACGCAAGCACGATCCCGCCGAGCCATCGGAGCGATCCAGGATTCGCGAAGCGGGCGGATGGGTGTCCCGAAACGGACGCCTCAACGACTTGCTTCAAGTCTCGAGGGCATTTGGATACGTCGACCTGATGCCGGCGGTGCAAGCGGCGCCGCATGTCAGCAACATGACCATCAAGGAGCACGACGACATCATCCTGATGGCGACAAGCGAGCTCTGGGAGTATCTCGATGCCAATCTGATCACGGATATCGCCAGGGCTGAGCGAACGGATCTCATGCGCGCCGCCCAGAAACTCCGAGACCTTGCCATGGCGTATGGTGCGTCGGGTAAGATCATGGTGATGATGATTAGCGTTGCGGACCTCAAGCGACGCGTTGAGCGGTCGCGCCTGCATCGCGGCACCAGCATGTCACTGTACCCGTCAGGCGTGCCGGACGAGGCGCAGGTGCTCTCGACGAGAAGAGGTCGCAAGGCCAAGGGCGACGTGCTGGACTCGTCTCTCAACCGGCTCGAAGCCGAGATTCCCGCGCCGACGGGCAACGTCGCCATCATCTTCACCGACATCAAGAACTCGACGACGTTGTGGGAGATGTACCCCAGCGCCATGCGGTCCGCGATCAAGCTTCACAACGAGGTGATGCGCCGTCAGCTCCGGCGGATCGGAGGGTACGAAGTCAAGACCGAAGGCGATGCCTTCATGGTGTCGTTCCCCACAGCCACTTCGGCGCTGCTGTGGTGCTTCGCCGTGCAGCTTCAACTCTTGGACGTCAGCTGGCCGTCTGAGATCCTCAACTCAATGTCTGGCCAGCCCATCAACGACAAGGACGGCAGTCTCATATTCAAGGGCCTGTCGGTGAGGATGGGCATCCACTTTGGCGGAGACTGCGTGAGCGAAACCGATCCGGTCACTCGGCGCATGGACTACTTCGGGCCCATGGTGAACAAGGCGTCTCGTATCTCGGCAGTGGCCGACGGTGGTCAGATTACTGTGTCATCAGATTTCATCAGCGAGATCCAGAGGTGTCTGGAGAACTATCAAGACACGGAGCGCCACAGCTCCGTTGGGTCCGAGGAGGCGTTCGACGAAGAGTCATACGCGTCGGCGATTCGCAAAGACCTGCGCTCGCTCACGTCCCAGGGTTTCGAAGTCAAGGAGATGGGCGAGAAGAAGCTCAAGGGCCTGGAAAACCCAGAAGTGGTCTACTGCCTGTACCCGCACGCCCTGGCTGGCCGCATCGAGTACCACCAGCAGCACGAGCGCCGAGAGGAGGGCACCGACAAGCCGGCCATCTTGGCTCCTGGAGCTGAGCTGGCGTTTGACCCCGAGACCATCTGGGCCTTGTGGAGAGTCAGCCTGCGGCTGGAGATGATCTGCAGCACGCTCGAGGAGATTAGGGGTCCCGGGCTGCAGCCACCCGAGACGGAGCTCCTGGAACGAATGAAGTCTAGAGGCGGCGAGGTGACAGACAGGTTCCTACTCAACTTTATGGAGCACCAAGTGAGTAGGATAGAGGTGAGTTTCTCTTGCGGCAATCATGGACTCCAGCACGCTAACTGTATGCAGACCTGTGTCTCGACTCTGGCCATGCGACACATCGCCATCGGCGGCGGTGTGCTTCGGGAGCTCAACGACCTGCGGGCGCCCATGGCATCCGTGCTTGACTTCTTCGTGAATCAGCAAAAGGAGCTGGAGCAGTACCGCAAGATGTACGGTGCTCTGCCCCAATCTAATGGCGCCAGTGGCCCTGCGCGATTGAACCAGGTGGTGGAGGTAGAAGAGGATCACGAGGACATCAACGGGGGAGACCAAGGCGAGAATGGTATCGAAACAGACAGTGACACGGAGCACGGTTGAGCAGGACTCTCTGCACTCGCTTCAGCTCTCTCCCAGAGCGAGACAGAGCGTCTCTTGGCCACCATCAACCGAATGGGCACACCCCTTGGCCATTACACCCTGCGGAATAAGGGTAAACTCGACCCGAGACTTGGCGAGACAAGTCTCGTGACAGGCAAGAGAGGGAACGGGACGGTACATAATGGGTTTCTGCATGGGTTGAACATGATTTTTCTTTTTTGGAGAGCAACGCAGGCGTGAAGACGGCAGGCTTGGTTGGGTCGCATTTGCTTATGCCTTGCAGGGGGTGCGCACCACTCGTTGGTCTCGTGGACGCGGCGTTTTGGACGAAACACCATCTCTGGTCAGAGGGTTCAGGGGGGGTTTAGGTGTCGGCGGCGCACGAGCCTGATGCTTTTGTTCGACGCTGTATAGTGAAGGGGGACCGAGAGAGGGGGAGCCTTATGCCATGTCTTGCACTTATCTACGTAACTTATTTTACGGCACACAGTCGGGGCAGCTCTGTTGAGTGCGGAGAGGCGCGCCGCGATTCAATGGTTATATTTTTCAAAAGGATACCAAGATATGCACTATTATGACGTTGCGTACTGTCCGTCCTTGACGCGCTTCATGATGTGTATGCGCGGCGACATGCGCGGGCCGATCCACCAGCCGCCCGTGTACTTCCTCACGGCGCGGCGCACGTCTGCTACCCTCGCGCCGAGGCCGAGCACCCTGTGCGACTGGCGGGGGCCGGTGGCGGCCGCGGCCTCGACGTCAAGCGGCTCCTTGGCGCCGGGCTTGAGCACCTCGATGCCGTCGTAGCCCTGGACGACGCCGAGGACCTTCCAGTTGCCGAGGGGGAGCATGGGGTCCTCCATGAGGGCGTAGTCCATCTTCTTCCAGAAGCTGGGCCACTTGAGGTCGGGCTTGTCCTCGGTCTTGTCGAAGATGTAGATGGGGGGCGCGGAGGCGGAGGCGGGGTGGTGGTTGTGGTGGTTCTGGGGGCCGGTGAGGGCGAGGGGCAGGCCGGGGCGGTTCTGGCCGAAGAGGGTGAGGCCTGTCATGCAGGTGAGGACGTCGGCGTGGACGGTGATGGTGGAGGGAGAGGTCGACGTCGCGGGGACGGTGACGGGCAGGGGGTCGACGGCGTCGGCGGTGAGGGCGTAGAGCTGCGTAAGGGCGTCGCCGCCGGGGTAGTTGAGGGAGGAGAGGAGCAGCATGCCTGCGCTGGCGGCGAGGGAGGCGACGACGGAGACGGCGAGGGCGGCGGTGCCGAGGGCGTAGACGAGCGACTTGCGGCGGCGCGTGGCGATGTAGTCCGCGGAGAGGGCGGCGGCGGCGGTGAGTGGCGGGACGGCGTAGAAGATGAAGCGGGCCTCCTTGTGCGGCTGGAGAGAGTAGACGGCGATGAAGGCGAGGCTCGGCTGGACGAGGCGGCGCGCGGCGGGGGCGGTGGCGGGCAGGTAGAGAGCGAGGCCGACGAGCGGCAGGGCGAGCGGGTTGAGGAGCAGGCGCGGCAGGGCCGAGGTGAAGTAGTAGTGCCAGGGGGAGGTGCCCCAGTTGGAGGAGCTGCCGAGGACGGCATTATAGTAGAAGCCCCAGAGCTCCGGCCAGAGCGGCTTCTGCCAGAAGTACGAGTCGATGGGGACGGAGAGGGCGAGCGCGGCGACGAACGCGACAGCAAAGACGGGTACGATCCCGCGGGGGGTCATCTGCCCCGAGTAGAGCAGCTGAGCGCCCACGGCGGCGAGCAAGATGGCGACCTCGGCGCGAAAGACGGCAGCCGCGACGACAAGCAGTGCGACGGCCTGACGGCGTCGCACGAGCGCCCTCCTCGGATCCTTCTTCGGCAGGAGAAACGCCATGGCCAGCGTAACGAGCCCAAACGCAAACATATTCGGCAACGTCCTCGACGCATAAAACGGCACATGGAACTGCGTCAGCAGCAGGGCCATCCACCAGCGCGCGACACGCACACCATGCGCCTCCCGCAGACCGCGCGCAAACACGAGCAGCGCGCCCGCGTTAAACGCCGCGAGGAGGCCGCGCACGAGGGTCTGCGCGTGGGCGAAGCCGCCCGGGGCGAGGGCGACGAGCGGCTGGCCGAGGCCGGCGAGGAGGACGGCGCCGAGGAAGGTGCGCGGGACGGCGCCGGGGAAGGCGAAGTGGTCGTAGGCGGCGGCGAGGCGGGCGCGCGGCGAGGGGCCCGTCCAGGGGACGCCGTAGACGAGCACGTCGTGGGCGGCTTGCATGTTGAAGGACTCCTCGACCTTGGTGTGGGGGGCGAGGAGGAGGTGCGCGAGGGGCACGAGGAAGAGGAGCGCCTCGAGGAGGGTGTCTGCGTTTACCACGGTGCGCGTGTCAGTGGGGGAACGATTGATTCTTGCTGCTGCCTTGATGGTCGTGTGGTGGAGACTTACCGAGAGGAGCCATGGTGTTGACTCTGTTGAGTATGAGTATGAAGGGTGAGTGAGAGGTGAGAGGTGAGAGTGAGGTGGCGATGGTTGGCACAGCTTCAAGACGGCAGTGGTTCAGGTCGCGACTCTCAAATCATGGGGTGCCTTCCCGGACCAGAGCTCAGTCAGTCATCAGAGAGCACGTTCTGATGCGCTGTACGAGTGTTCAAAGCTGTGGTCATTGAGGAATGGAAACACACTCCAACATGTCGAGCTGTTGTACTTGATAAGCGCGAGCGATCTCAAAGAAATCAGGGATGGCACGGCCGGCCCGCTAACAAAACAAAGGGGAGGCTTGCTTCCTGCTTGCTTGCTGCGGACTGCGTAGGGGTGACGTCGCTGGCAGCTAATAAGCTGGGGACTCAGGGAGCAAGCTCTCTCTCCAAACTCACCTACCAACACCCACACATCCACACCCCACACCTTTTCGGATCGGCGCAACCAATCCCCGTCTGCGACTTGTCCTCCGTCCCTCCACACGGCCAGCAGCCGGCCAGCCAGCCAGCCAGGCACCTCACTCACCTCGACCTCACGAGCAAGCCCACCCACCGACGACGACAACGACCTCCCTCCTACCTAGCCAGCAGGGGCACGCGCGCGCGACACCGTCCCATCCCACAACCCCAACGGCCTCAACCCCTCGACGCGTTTCCTCAATCTGCGCCGTTGAACCCACCCACGCCGCCGGGCACCCAGTCCCTTCATCAGCGGCAACATCGTCGTCTGGAGAAGGACCAACGAGACGCAACGAAGCGCAACGACAACGACAACGAAACCTAAACGACCTGCGCCGCCGCCCATCGCGTGCGCGCAACCCGTCCGCCCACGATGCTCTTCTTCGGCAGCTTCCTCTACATCGCCGTGCTCCTCATCAACTCGGTCGCCATCCTCAGCGAGGACCGCTTCCTCGCCCGCAGTACGCCTTTGACCCCTCTCCCTCTCCTCGTAGCTTGTCCGCCGCACCACCGCACGGCACAACAACAACAGCAGCGCTGACCATCGGACCTCCCAACCCCCTCCAGTCAACCTCTCCCCCGCCTCGTACGACCCGGCGTTCGGCTCCGGCGCCGACGCCAGCATCAAGGCCAAGATCATACACCTCATCGCCAGCGTCCGGACAATCATGCGCAGTACGTCTTGTCAAAACCCCGTTCCCTCCCCCTCTCTCCTTTCTCTCTCTTGTCCATTTGGGCCTTTGGGGCTGACGCATCGTCAACGCGCGCCCGTGAACAGTGCCCCTGATATTCGTCAACATGGTCATCATACTCTACGAACTGGTCCTCGGTTGATGATGGACGCCGGATGGACGAACGAAAATAGATGAGGAACAGCGGTGAAGGGGGCGAGGAGCCAAGCCTGATGGCCTCCCCTCCTTTGTGGTGCTTTACTAGCAAGCGGGTTCTCGGGGCGACGTGGCAGCATCTGGTAACGACTGGTTAGACGACATGGCTGGAGTAGGCCGCGGCGCGTGGCTCAACGACATGGGAACACGGCTGCTTCTCAAGAAGGAGTGCTCGAGCAGGCACAGGTCATGAGTGTTCACGAGTGCCTTCCCTACAACGACGGGACCCCTGCGGCTCACACTCCCGTGAGGATTCCACGTTTCTCATTGCGAGACCTGGTAGAGCTATTATAATGTAAAAAAAGAAATGACATGCCTGATGCTGCGACGCCACCGCCATGTAGGAATATATTAGCCCAGCACCGTCACGTTCAAGTAACCGCGGCGCAGCCATCAACTCTCTTCCCTGTGGACTCGTGCCAGAAAGCAAAAACGCCTGCCCCTCCGGCGGCAAGCACGCGGCGGGCTCTCGTCGCCGCCAAATCGCAGAAAAAAACAACGTCGCTCCAGTTGCCATGTCTTGCGCAAAAGCCAACAACAAACAGCACGATATATCCCGTCATGAAATCGTACACATTGGAACCATTTGCCGACGGCTCATGACAGCAGCCCGCTGCTCTTCTTCCGCCCGAGGCCCATGCTGAGGCGGCCCTTCTTCTCCTGCTTCTCGGGCAGCTCGCCGCTCTCGCTCCCCTCCGTCGTGGCGTCCGCCCCGCCCTTGTCCTTGTGGAAGAAGCTGAAGCTCTTCTTGGACATGGACTTGCTGCCGCGCTTGGACCGGTCGAGGATGCCCGCCATGCCCCCGACGGTGCCGTTGCCGTTGGTCTCCTTCTTGCGGGCCTGGTCCTCCTTGGCCGCCGTCTTCTTGCTCTCGTCGAGCACCTTTTGCAGCTCTTCCTGCTCCAGCCTGTGCGCCTGTAGTCTCTTGAGCTGGTCGTCTCGCCGCTTCTTCTCGTCTTCTTTGAGCTGCTTCTCCCGCTCCTTCTCCGCCTCCTTGGCCTGCTTCTGGGTCTCTTTTTCTGCCAGTTTTGCTGCCTTTTCTGCCGCCTCGCGTTCTTTCTTTTCGCGCTTCTTGTCTTCCTTGGTCTTTGCGTCCTGCTTCGTCGTTGGCGTCCTCGCCAGGGCGGGCACCGGGGGTACGGCGGGGCTCGAAGGAGCCGCCGCGGCCGGCGGTGCGCTCGACAAGTCCGGGGCAGTCTGGGCGTGAGCCAGCTTCGACAGCGTCTCGGGCTCAGGCGCTGGCGGCGTCGGGTGCGTGGCCTGTCGCTTCAACGGGGCCGTGTCCGCCTTGTCGCTGTCCTCGTGCGCCACGTTGGCGGCTTGCGTCGCCAGCTTGACCTCCTCCATGCCCTCCTTTTCCTGCTCCTCCCTGACCTTGTCGAAAGTCGTCTCCTGGTAGAACAAAACGTATGCCGTTGCCATGCCAGGCTTGTCTCCGAAAAAGTTGCGCACAAAGTGCTTGTCGACGGGCTCCACCATCTCGTCATCGAACAGGACCCAGCCGCGATCCTTGGTCTTGATGATGGAGACGTAGTGGCCGTGGTAGGCGTTGCCGCCGATGTGCACCACGACCGCGTATAGCTCGTACAGACGGTCGGGGTCCGACGCGTCGTCGGTGGTGTTGAACATGCGGAGGTGGTAGGGGTACACAACCCGGTGGAACAGCTTCTGCAGCCGGCTATAGTCCTCCGTGTACTTGAAGCGCTTGAGATGCAGCGTAAGCACCTTGGGTAACCGCTTGACCTTCATGCGCTTTTCCGCCTCCTGCAGACCGCCGCAGTGGTCGCAGTGGAACTTGTTCCGCTCGCAGAGCATTTCCTCGGCGGAAAACTTGCGCAGGCAGGACGTGACCGAGGAATGCTCCTCGAGGTCAATCGAGAGGTCGAGGAATGTCTCATCGCGCTGCGACGCTGTCTCGCATGTCAAACACTTGGTCTCCGAGGTCAAGACGCCTTCGAAAATGTCGTGGACCCAGCCGGTACCAGGCGATCGATATCCGGTGGCGTTGTTCAGGCCGGTGCCGAGGGCGTTCTCCACCGACTGTATCAGGCCATTCTGCCGCCTGACGTCGTCGTCCTGGATCCGGCGCGCGTTTGCTTCGACGTTGGCAATAACGTCATTCAAGACTAAGCCGTAGAACTCGTGGGCGTCTTGGTGCATGGAGTTTCGGAACATTTCGTTGTCGCGCTTGAAAATCTCGAGGAACCGCTGCGGGCTCAACACGCCCGTCCGGGTGCTGCTCTCGAGGAGCGCGAGGAAGATGTCCTTGAGCCCGGTAAAGGTGCATTCGTCCATGCCGTAAGCCACGGCGTTCTCCTGCGCCAGCTCTAGGATCGGGCCCTTGAGCATCGCCTGCTTCTTCTTGTATTCGGGGGTGTCGGGCTTGTCCTCGGGCTTGACGGCGGCCGGGCCACCAACTGGTTGACCGGCATTGATGGCCTGCCTCTGCTTCAGCACCTGGGACGTGGACGGGATCTTTTGTTTCTGTTGCGGTGCCGGCGGCGTCGGGTTCATGGGCGGTCTGATGGTGACGTGGACCTTGGGGTTCGTGCCGTTGGGGGTCTCGGCGGGCGAGTACGGCGGGTACTTGATGACGTTGTCGCGGAAGAGGTCGGAGTAGAAGAGCGCTTGGACGATGGAATTGCAGTAACTAGGTGCGTGTCAGCAGCGAGAGTCGGCTCGACGGCGATTGAACGTGTTGCAAAGCATCGTACCAAGTGTTGCCAAACTGTCGACGCGAGTCAGCCGCATGTTGCGCGAGATCAAGAGTGGTGGACGACATACGTTCTCAAAACCAAAGAAGCGGTCGCTACCGTCCTCGCGCAGCGGTCCCGCATTCTGCAGCATCTTCTCCAACGGGGTCACTTCGAGGACGATCTCGTCCTTCTTCTTTTGAAGGGCATCTTTGGCTGGCTGAGTCGTGGTGGCCTGCGCATGGAGACATTTGTCAGCGGTCGAGTGCGAGGTTGAGAGATGGCTGCGCGACGGCTCTCTGGCGAGGAGCAAAGGAATGGTAGGAGCCCAAGGACAAGTGCAGCGGCGCGGCCGCGATATCATCAAGGTAGCAGGACCCGACTTACCGAGCCAGCGCTCTTAATCTTGTTGAGGAAGCCCGCCATGCTGGGTGGCCGGTCGCGTGCCGAGTGCGGAGGCGATCCGGGGGCGCGGAGACGAGTGGATGGGCCGGTTTAATAGCTGGACAGGCGGGCAGGGTGAGCCGCGTCGGCGTCGGCAGCGAAGCGACGCCCAGTCGAGGAATACAGTCGATGATGAAGCGCCAAAGTCATTCGCGGCAAGGGAAAAAAAAAGTTGGGACGACGAAGGGCCGGCGGCGAGCGGGATTAATCAGGAGAAGGAGGAGGAGGCGTGTCGGGTGGCAGTACGAGGGAGGACTGCGGTTGGGGAAGGACGGGCGCCGAGAGATGGGGCGCACAGGCTTGGTCGATTCCGCCCGCACCCTCACAACCCGTTGGCGTTGGAACAGGCGAGGGGGAGGTGTGCGTGTGGCTTGGTGGGAAGACGGCGGCGGAAGAGGGAGTGGAGGAGGGNGGGAGGGATTGCGGTGGCGTGGGCAGCAACAGGCGGAAGAAGCAGCGGAGAAGAAGAGTCGTTTGGCGGCGGGCGCACTGTGCCTGGGATAGCGTGAGGCAGACGGAGCAGCGCAGCGCAGCGGCTCGATTCGGTTCGGCTCGATCAGGAGACTCGGTCTGGGCCAGGCAGCAGACGAGGTTGCGTCGTCGTGCGTAGGCGGGAAACCGTGCTGTACGGTACAGTACGATGCTGGGGGCGGCGCGAGGATGATTGCGGACAAAGGGAGCGAGCGGTTGTTGGTCGTGTTGGTCGGAGGTTGAAATAGCGACTGACTGACGTGCAAGTCAAAAGTGAGGGGGAGGCGGGCGGGATCAGCGCGACGTGAATTTGCCAGAATGCGGATGGAAGGCAAGGCACGAGGTACTCTGTACTCCGTTCTGCGGGATGGGCGCGGATAGCAGACTCGGACGGAACGATTCGGGTACCGTGTAGGTACCTCGAAACTGACTCGGCGCGCAACGTGCTGCGGTGTATCACAACGTCGGAACTTTAGAGGCACGACGCCAGGCGTTGCCGCTGCTGGGCAGCACCAGACTCGATGCCCTGAGGTGGTTGGCGGAGTGGGCGCCGACAAGTGCCTCGAGCACCCGGCAAGGCGGGCGTACTCTGTACATGCAAGGCGCGCCCAAGGGCTCAGCGCCGCCAAACCGTACTGTACCCGGAACCGTAACCACCTCACCACAAAGGAAACAGAAGTGGGAGGAGGGCACCTGGAGGATGCATCCCTCCATCCCCATCCATCGCCCCGTCCGTCCACTGGAACCCCTCCCCGCACCCCCCAGAGGCGAGCCCGAGGCCACTAAAAACGGGGGAGGAGGGGGGACCATCCATCAGCATGGAAGCACACGCAACCCCGACACGCAGCCGGCCGGGCCCCCAACAACAAATGATAGGGCCGTGCAGGCCACCGCGCAAGGTAGCAGTCGGTCCCCGGGGCGCGCCAGCACTTCCCTGCAGGCCAGGACCATGCCCGCCACGCGCTCGCCGCTGACGGCCCCCGGACACATCCCTGGAATCGTGGGCGGGCACGGTGGGGAAAAGCGACGCCGGGCCGGGGAAGGCGAGGTAAAGGTAAGCAATCAGGCAAGCAAGCGCACGGTATGGAGAACGTCGCACTCACAGTACGCACGCACTCACAGTACGCACGCACTCACAGTACGCACGCACTCACACCTTAGGGTGAATTCGTTGTGGCCGTGACGAACGGGCGACGACTCGGCTCGACCATAGCTAGGCACTCACTCCTGCAGACGAGAGCGAGGCGGAGTGGCCTGCTCGAGCGCTGTGCTCGCGAAAGTCGTCGGGCTCAGGCGGCCTGTCGTTGGTGCCTAGGCTCCTTCCATCGATTGCCACGCGAGAAAGCGGTCCGCACTTTTTGGCTGCTAGCGATGCGCTACAGCACCCCAAGCAAGCCACAGTGGCACGCCGCAGGTGGGGGAGGAACACGAACCCCTGGCTGCCCGCTGGCCCCGTCCCCCCGATGATCCAATTGACGGACGACCCTTGCTGCTGCAGCTGCAGCGATGGAGGAACCGCCAGCTCTCAGCGTGGTGGTCCCTTTGCTGGTCCCCTAGCTCGTGTCTGCACCCAGACCTGGACCTCATCAGCATGCTGTGGTGCGCTGCGCTGCGCTGCCCTTCATCACGGATACTGTGGTAATGCGTCGATTCATCCACCAGAGTCGCGCTCCGTCATGCATGTTGGGCCCTCGACGTCACGCTGGCCCGCTTAGACCACCGCCGCCAGCGCGAGCCTCCGTCCCGGGGGCCATGACGACTTGCACGCGTACGGTACGGTGAGCCTGTACCGTGAGCCTGGGCAGCTCAACGAAAGAGCCGCCCACGACTACATCCCGAGGCCAAGCCGCTGGGAGGCCTGCAAGCGACAAGCGCATCGTCGTCGCAACGCAGTAGGTTCTTACACTAATAATACTTCGCGCATATCGCCAAGCTGCAGGTGCCATGAGCTGCCGTTCCACGCCACGCCACGCCGTGCAACGCAGTGCAACGCCCACACCAGCGTTCCGGGGTTCTACGGGTAGCATCAGCCAGCACCGGCCCGGTAAAGGCCGCCGTCGAGGTCGCCGCCCGGACGGGAGCCCGAGCGCAGCACGCCGGGGGCATGGCAGGGCAGGGCGCCGGGTCTTTTGACATGGCACCCTTCAGCCCCATGGCATCTTGTGCTTCCTTTCTTTTTTTGGGCATGTCGCGCAGACGTCCCGTAAGAATTCAGAAATCGGGATTGTGCTAAATGGGTGTGCCGCACGTCACCCCCGTGAGAGGCTGACGAAGGAGCACATGCAGTCGAAACGCAGAGCGCCCAACCAACAACCCACCACTTTGTTGTCGACGATTGGTAATGGGACGCACGGGGAATTTTGTGCTGTGCTGTGCTGTACCACCTGAGCCGTGCCTCGTGCGTCTGTGAAACCGACCTTGAAGCAAAAGGTGGATTTCAAAGCATGCGAGGTGTTGGCGACCGTGCCGTGGCCGCATTGGGCTATTACCAGCGAGCTGAACGTCATAGACACATGGCATGCCATGGCATGCGTTTGCTCTGCTCTGCTTCTTGACCCTGGCGGAGAAGAGCGTCGACTTGGATACTTACCAACAGCCGCGACTTTACGTCACGAGACGGGCAGCGCAGGCTTCAGCACAGTGCATCTCATGGGACTTTCAATCATCACAGTGCTTCGTTTCTGTCTTCCAGATCATGGGTGCTGCAGCCATCCGCGTCCGCATCCGGGCTGCCTAGCACCGCGTTGAAAGTCAATCCTCCAGGCCCGCAGTTCCTCCCGTCGCGGAGGCTTGGCGGCGTTGCAGGTTGGTGGCACACACAGGGCAGGGCATGGCGGCCTGGAATCTTGACCCTCCCTCCCTCTTCCTCCACGGCGGCGGCGGCCGGGACGAACAAAGACAGAGCCTTCCTTGTTTCCAGCGTTGTTCGGCCGCTCGCTCGCTCCCCAGGCGAAAGCGCCACGGCCGAAGAGAGGAGGGATGCGCCCCCGAGTCGCTCCCGCCACTGACCTACGTGGTGTGCGTCCCACTGCCTATAGATCACGGCACTGGCGTTTTCCCTGGAAGCTTCATTCAGCATGACGATGGCCTGACGGGCCGTGCTACCTTTTTTGCTGCCCGCGCCAAGGGCGTAGCACAACACTTGCTGAAAACCTTCACCTGGGATGCATTTCCTTCGTCATCCAATGTCACACCACAGTCCTGGCGACTGGTGATGTCTGTCCGTCGACGCGGGGCGTGGGCCGCTTGCGGGAGGCCGTGCACAAATAGCCCCCGCGGGTCACTCCATGTGGCGTCCGGGGACTCGGGCGATTCGCCCGCCTAACAACGCTTCGGTGATGATCCTCCCTGTTTGCTTTGGTTTCGAGAGCGAGGCGAAACACAATGCCTCTTGTCCGTCCGGGAGGCAGATCGAACGGGGAAGGCAGCGACGACGAGCAATGAGGCAGGCCGCTGGACAGTAATGCACAGACAAACGTGTCCCCGATCTTCAGGCGGGCAGGGAAGGCAGGCCTGGAGCTACTGTACAGACAAGCAGACGAGCAGACGACACCAGCCAGCCAGCCAGCCAGCCCTCCAGGCGTCCAGAGTCCAGACAGGCATCCTATCACGGCGGCGCCCCCTCCCCCAGTGCAGCCGTCGATTCGGTCCGTCCTCGTCCCCCTCCCTCCCTCCCTCACCTCTCTCCTTGGCCCTCCTCACTGCTGGAGGCGGGGACGCAGCTTCTCGCTGGCCAATGCCCGACGTGCACACGCCTGTTCCGCCAGCCCGGCTTTGCCTCTCCCCTCCATCCAATCCTCAACCACCGCTGCTGGCTGGCGGGCTGTCGCTGTCCCCCTGCCCAGAACTGTGGCGCTGCAGCTTCGGAGCAGTTGTGCCGTCTTGGCCTCTGGAGGGGCATGACGAACAGATGCGCGTCGTCGCTGGATGACGACGGCAGGTGGTGGTGGAGGGTGCGCACTGCGCGGTCCGTATCAGATTATCAATCAATATTGTGATCGAATCTGGGGGCAGGGCTGTCGACGCAAGTGATGCTGCTGCTGCTGCTGCATGCCTTTGTTCATGCACGAGTCGCCACCCAACCTCAACTCGCATGTTGCAACTATGAACTTTGCGATACAGTACAGTACCTCTTACACTCAGAGAGCTGCACAGTCTTGTCCAGTACGGTACAGTAGTATGTAAATGGACTCCAGACCGATATGCAGCAGTAATATCACGACGTCAACACCATCCAACAACAACACGTTACCGCCCGCCCTGCCCGGCCGACTTCTGTCCTTGCTCTCTTTGCTTAGCACGGCTCTGCGGCTTGCCATGACTGTACAGCGTCACCTCGCCTTGGACCGGGCGCTTGGGAGCACAGTCCGCGATCCAGTAGTCCCAGTGAATGTCGCAGGGCGTACCGAGGCTCGGACACTGAGGATGATTCGAAACAACTCCCATGTTAGCTAGCTCGCTCCACCTCCTCGTACAGTGAAAGCCTATGCGCGCCCCTCGTAGGAGGAATCTCTACTGTTCGGCCGACGCAGAAAGGGGGAGGAAGGGGGAGGAAGGGGGCCGAGGATACATACCCGGCTCGGTCTACCACACGGTATAATGACGACGGTTTGGTCCACGTACGTGTGCTCGCCGTAGCCGACGAGGTTCGGGGGCGAGCGGCCGAGGCAGTGGTTCATCGCGGTGCAGGTCTACGGACGAGGAGCCAAACGGTCAGAAACCCATCATCTCGTCAAGCGGACATGTATCGGGCATGAATATGGTGAACGTCGATGTGTTATTGAACTCACCCCCCTGACGATGGTCCCCGTGCCCGTGTCATTGCAGTCATCTGGCTGGTCGTAGTACGGCGGGTAAAGGTCCGCTCGGCGGTGCCGCGGGAGAGGTGCTGGCGTCATGTTTGCCGCGTCGAAGAGCTCTCTCTCTCTCTCTCTCTCTGCTTTTCTCTGTCCTGTACCGTACAGACAGACAGGCAGACAGCCTGGTTAATTCAATGACGAGAATCTGGTAAGCAGCGCGCCAGAGATGGGAAGAGAACGAGAAAAGAGAGACAGGAGCAGAGCGTCTATTCAACTGCAACATCTGTTAAATACTTGCAAACTAAAAATGGGTGCCGCCACGTGCCTGACTTGCCATTGAGGACTCCTCGCTATACCATTCTTAGTATGCACACGAGGTCTTTGGCTGATGCATCTCTTCCAGGCCGCGGGCGTCGTCACTCCATCCACTTGACCATGCATTAAAGAACGATTCTCGCTGGACGTAGAAACGTGGTTCTTGCGTGAGGTTTATCTAATATGTATGTAAGTGCGCGCACCACGTCGGGCCGTGCTGGCTGCAGAACCGCTGTCCCGACCTCACGATGGCCAGTTCGTCGTTTCACACGCACGCACGGGGCGAGACAGACACGGGTATCGGCCATTCGGAGACTGGAGGCGCTCGTCGGGCCGGAATGCGCACTACGAGGGTTTCAGATTTTCATCGACCATGTGTGCCACGAGGATACGCATGCAGGTTCACGTGTGCATGTGTGACACGCTGCGGCGCGCCTAGGCGTCAAGCACGGGGCACGAATGTCAAAAATGAGTGCGTTGATGGCGATGCCGACGCAGGTATAAAGATTGATACAAAGAACCGTTGACAAAAGTCCAACAGCCACCACCTTGTGTGCGTGTGTACGTGTACGGATACTACCTTACTACTGCCATTGCTGCTGCTACTACTACAACATGTCGTCCCTGAAGGGGATCCGCCGCCGTCAAGGCCGCAAAAGAGTTTCGGAACTGTGACGGCTCGACTCACCTCAGCTCGTGCTGCTGCCCTCACTTCTGCTCCGCCGCCGGCGGAGGAGGACCGCCCGTCGTGGGCAGGCCCATGAAGATCTTGAAATAGTCCTGCGCACATGGGCGTCAGTAAAGGGACGGACCGTGAAACAAGAAAGGGAGCAGAGTTCAACTTACATAAATCATCCACTGCAGGCCGGTCAGGGTGCCAATCATGACAATTCGGACGGGGAGGCCGTTCCAGAGCCCCCCGAAGCCAATGTCCTTGTAGATGCGGCCCATGGCGCTGCCAAAGGCCTCGCCGGGCTCGCGGTAGGCGTTGAGCTTGCTGACCATGACGTCGGCCGGGTGGGAGACGATGGCGCACAGGATGCCGGCGAGGTAGCCGCCGGTGAAGGAGACGCCCGTCTGGGCGGCCTTGCCGTAGTCGCTCTTCTGCCCGGGCAGGCGGTCGTAGATCTTCTCGACAATGGTCTCGAACGAGGCAAACTTCATCATGGTGTAGGGGATCTGGCGGCCCCAGAGCGGGTACAGGCCCTTGTACAGGCCGGCCCAGCCCTCCTTGCCGCGGACGGTGCTGATGCCGTGCAGGGTGCCCGTGTAAGGGTTGGGGATGACGCCCTGCATGCGCACCTTGACGGCCTCGAAGGGGCACAGCGCGATGTCGGCGAGGAACTCGGCCGAGGCGGACGCTGCCAGGTACAGGCCCGTCTTGTACTTGTAGGCAGCCTCGGGCCCGGCCATGTCCGAGTACGTCTTCTTGAAGTACTCGTACCAGCCGTACTTGAAGGCGCCCTGCGCGCTGTAGCCGAAGAAGGTCGGGCTCCAGCCGGTGAAGATGCCGCGCAGGCCCTCGGCGCGGTAGATCTTGCCCCAGGCCTGGAAGTTGCTCGTGTACAGCTTCGAGTCGACCTGGCGGCGCGTCTTGACGAGGTCGAGCGGCGTGACGGCCGTGTGGGTGAGGCCCTAGAGCGGGGGACGCGAAGCAAAAACGGTAAGACGGGAGCGTTCGCCATCGATTGGGGACAAACAACATGGCCCCGGGGGTCCGGACCCGGACATATGGGATGCAGTGAGCAGTATGATTCGTGATACTGTCACCACCGCGCCTATATGCCCGAGGGCAGCTGGGGCCGGGAGGTGGGCACACTTACACATGCGAGCATGCCGCCAAAGGTGCAGGCGGCGTAGTACTTGCCCGTGTACAGCTCAATCTTGCCGGCCTTGGCCTGGGCCTTTGCGCTGACCTTTTCAAACTCCTTGGTGGCCTCGTCGCCGATCTTGTGCGCCTTGTCCTTGGCGTTGTCGACGATGGAGAAGGCGCCGTAGAGCTCCGGGCGGGCCTGGAGCGGCGTGGGCCGGCCCATGGGGCTGTAGACGGAGCCCCGGAGGGTATCCGCCTTGGGATACAGATGCGACATGGCGGCGTCGGGCTGCTGGGTGGGCAGGCGAACTGGAGCTGGTCGTGACGACGAGAGGATTTGAGTAGAGTCTGGGGTAGCGACAGGTCAGTCAGTCAGGCAATTGCCGACGATTGGGGCAGCAGTGATACAGGCGCTAGATGCTGGCGATGCGCCTCAGCTCCTCGTCGGGGCCTCAATGCACCGATGCATCCGCCCTGCGATGCGTCACAGGAAAAGGGAGCTCGCGCGACTCACTCACCTCTACTCACAAGCTACCAGGGCTGCAGCGACACGGAACTGTCGTCGGGTAGGTATCGGTCCAGCCAGGGAAGATGCCAATGGCACAAAGCCTACACGGACGATGGCAGTGCGCGGTACGGCAGGCAAGAGTCGCGACCTCTGATTGACGTCAGCAGACTCAAGAGGCTGGAGATGAAAAGATGAGGCGCAAAAGATGGTGTGCACGAGAGGAGGAGGAGGTGAGCAGGAGCGTCCGGAGTTAACGGGCTCTCGAGGTACGAATCGAGGTGTACCTGCGACATTTGATACGCTCCTGGTGCAGCGCGAAGGAATGGGCAAATGGGGGGGTTCGGGTTCTTGGGGGTGTGACCGGGAGGGTGACATCATCTCACAGCCTCATATCGCCGTTTATGCCTGAGGTGCTTTTTTGCCTTTCTTTTCGCGAGCAAGGAGAATTCTGTCGTCGTTCCAATTGGAGTCGAGCGCAATTGTAATTTTCGCAGGCGTGCTCGTTGTCGTTGTAGACCTCGACGCTGCGAGGCAGACAGCTTGCATCTCACGATGCTGCTGCACAGGCGTGTGCGGGTGGGTTGCCGGCGCCTTGTTGCCGGCCGGCCGCGACATGTAAACAATGGGGCCTCGCTCGAATTCGCTCATCTGCGGCAAACTGAAGGGGCAAACGCCGACTAGTTGACCGCCATGGAGCCGGGCCATTATCGCAATGTGACTCAGTCTACGGAACACGGCCCGGGTCAGGGGCTTTCGGAATCCACACGTCTTACTTGTACGTGGTAGTTTGGAGCTACAACAACAAGGCAAGCATTGGGAGCAGCAAAAGTGGACTTCAAAGCGCAACTTGTAGCTTACACGCCGTACCGCAGCACTGGTCACGAGTCACGTACCCTTGCATCTCCTAGAACCTGGGTATTGCTTGTCTGGTTTGCTATGCCATAGCACTACCAAGTCGCTGAGCCAAGGCAGCTCGAACGTATTTCCCCGATCGGCTCGTTGGGATCGACTCGACAAAAGAGACCTGCCCGCAAGTCAGTCAAGAGCACTTAGTACGGTCCGCTGCACATCGTTCGAAGAACCACCAACGGTTACTATCCAGGGGCGACAGGGCTCACCGTCTTTGGAACTTTGAAATGGACCGACTGCTGGCGAACAAAGCGCTTGATATCCAGAGGGCGTAGATGGTATCCTGGCTTCACGATGACGGCCACTCCTGCATGCCCAGCTCAGCATCGCTCCACAGCGGGCCGGCACGAGACCTCGAAGCAAGGTAGCCACTTACCGATGTCCTCTCCGTATGTGTCATCGGCCACCTTGAAGCACGCGACCTCCTGAACACCTTCGTGTGCGAGAACGATATGCTCAATGTCGAGTGGGCTAATTTTCTCTCCACCCTTGTTGATCATGTCCTTGGTCCGCCCGGTGATATGGAGACGGCCGTCGGCGCGGAGGCTGCCCAGGTCACCCGTCCGGAAGAAGTCATCGTGGAAGGAGTTGGCGTTGGTCTCGGGGTCGTCTAGGTAACCTGAGATGACACAAGGACCACGGACACAGACCTCACCAGTGCACCCAGGTACACTGGTGAGCTGAAACGACTCGTTCCCGTCTGGTACGCGAATCTTGACTTCCAGTTCATCAGGTACGGGGAAGTGGCCGGGAAGGCGGCTCGAGCCATCAAGGCGGTTACAGAAGACGGCTTGGACCGTCTCCGTCATGCCGTACCCTTCCAGAACTGGGCAGTTCAGGGTGCGTTCCAACTCTGTCATCAACACGGCCGACATACTGCTCCCGCCCGACCGCGCGAAGCGGATGGACAACCCCTCGACTGGCCTCGGAAAGGACAAGAGCAACCGGTGCATGGTGGGCACTGCGTGGTACCAGGTGGCGCCCAAGTCCCTGAACTGGTGCCAAAAGTTGCCTGACAGTGAGCGAGGGATGATGGCACATCCACCCGCGGCGAGAGCGCAGAGAAGGGACGAACACGTGCCTCCGACGTGAAAGAAGGGCGCCACAATCATGGCGCGATCAGTCGGGAGTAGAGAGTGTGCCTCTACCAATATACGGACCGATGCGAGTATCCCGGCGTGCGTCAGGCCAACGGCTTTGGGCAAGCCCGTGGTGCCGCTGGTGTAGTGGAGGAGCACGACATCATCCGGGCGGACTTCCTCCGGCGTCACCACGGCGGCCGAAGAGATAGGGGTGTGGCCTTGCGCATCGTGTCGGAGAAGAACCTGTTGGACGTCGTCGCCCCAAGTGCAAAGTATCACCGGGATGCCCAAAGCTGTCGACGCATCGGTCATTGGCCTCCGAAATTCATCGTCGGGGACTATGGCGCAGCGCGGCTGCAGGCGTCGAAGCATCTGCTTCTGTTCAGCCTCTTTGGCGTCTGGGTTGAGGGGCACGACGACGGCTCGCTGGCGGGCGAGAGCGAGAAAAACGACGACGAACTCGGGACCATTGGGAAGAGCGACGGCGACGCGACTACCAGCAGCGATACCCAGTCGAGCGAGTGATTCTTGGGCATGCAGCACAAGTCCGTCAAGTCGCCTATACGATAGCTGCACTGTACCGGTTGCCGTCCCGGGGGCGGGCGGGACGATGATGGCGGGAGTATCTGGGCCCGGAGAGGGCAACAGGATCAGGTCGGGCCGCAGCATGGTGAACAGCGCTGATGGAAGAGAGGCGGTGGAAGTGGCGTGCAAAGCAGGAACAGCCGTGGAAGCAACTTGGCCGGGCCCCAGATATAGCTGGCCAACCTCCTTTCCCTTCTATCAAGGCGCTTAAGCGCTCTCAGGGGAAACAAGACCACGAATGCGTGTACGAGTACTCGCCCTGGTCGAGGCCCTCGGCCTGCCCGAAGGATAGTCGAACTGGTCATGCCTGCACAAGGTGCGTTTCGAAAGTCGGTCTGCAAGCTGAAGCCGGCCGTCTGCATGTGATTGCAGGGCGCTGGATGCATTGGACCCCGCCAGCGAGCTGAAAGTAGACGGAGGAAATGTGACGGCAGTCGTGGTGTTTGTGATGACAGTCACATCGGGCTGTCTTTGTGGAACTTGTAAGTTGGAGTGGCGGCGGTGGTATGCAAGAGCAAAAGGCTTCAGGCTGCCGTGGAGGCATTGAGGGGTTGCTCTCGAATCTCGAAAGCTTTCGCGGCAGGTGCGAGCCGCCAACGCACCTGCCCCCTGATCCTCGACACTCCTCCTCTCCTCGCCTTGCCTCCCCTGCCCTTGTCTCGACACGGCCCAAATTACCACCTCCACGCACCGAACCGTACTGGGTCTCCAAAAGTAACGTCCATTGATGGCGCAACACGTCGACTGGCAATGCAAGCTTGTGTGGCAGGGAGGCGGCCCGCGGCGGTATATAAACACGCCCGTCGCGGGTGAAGGTCCGCGCCTCCTTACTCCGTGAACCAGAGAAATCCCAGTCTCACAAGCCGACCAGCGTCATGGAAGATCAGCTGCGCCACATTTGGGCTAATGTCCTCTCCCTCACACCCGAGGAGATTGGCACCGACGACAATCTGTTCGAGTGTAAGTCCTGAGGCAATCATCTCACGTCCAGGGCTAACTTGATTGCATAGTGGGAGGGGACTCTGTAAGCTGCCCCGAGAAACGATAGTAACCAAAGCCAACCATGAAACGTACAGGTCAAGGCCATCCTTATCATGGCCCAAGCAGCCGAAATTGGGGTGTACTTTGACGTAAAGACCCTGTATGCCAGTGAGTGTCGCCTGAAGACGGTTGACGCAATACAGTTGCTGATCGCATCACGTCCGACTCGGACCAGATCCGACTGTTGCCGCTCTGTCAAAGGTGGTTGGTCAAAGCGGCACCACTCCCGGCAGCCGTGGCTCCCTCGCCGAGCCTGTCAGCCAAGACCGACTGCTGCGGCGCGTCCGATGCCGGGTGGCGGATCTGGGCATCACACCAGCCAGCGTGCTGAATGCCGCAAGAATGCGCGATGACCAAGGTGGATCCTCCCGGTTCTACAGATGCTGCATTGGTTAGCTGACGATACTCGCCTATTATTCTGCAGTCGACTTTGTTCACATGTCCGCACGTGGCGGCATCGGGGCCTCGCCGACATTCATCTACCAGGTCCAGGGGCAAGGCATCGAGGAGAAGCTTCGTCGAGCCGTTACTGTGCTGACACTGAAGCATCCGATGCTGCGCACTACGTTTGTCGACGTGGATGGCGAGTGGTTCCAGGTGCTATTGGCAGATGCCTCCCCAACCTTGGAAATGCGTTCCGGTCCCATTCGCGAGTACGCGAGTGAAGCCAGTACGAGAGTCATTACCGCGGGCGACTCAACAGCACACTACGCGCTTGTCGACGACCGTGGAACTACTTTCTTTAGCTTCTCCGTTTTGCACTGCTTCTTTGATGGCTTCTCCCGCACGCTCGTCGAACACGATCTGGTCGATGTCCTCGAGAACCCGGAGGCATTCGCTGAGCAGCAGGCTGAACGCCTCTGGTACGGTGACTTGGCGAGGCGCTTGGACACGGGTCTAGATGACGCAGCTGCAGCTGCTTTCTGGCAGCGATACCTCGAGGGCAGCCAGCTCGAGACCATCTACCCTTGCCGTGGCGAGCTGGGGACGGTGCCGATGCGACGGTTGGACAACTCTCTATACGCCACGTTGTCCATGGACGTGTTGCAGCCTCGGGGACGCCGGTTCCACCTGGCAACGGCCATCACGACAGCGTGGGCCCTGGCATTGATGCATCGGTCGGGCTGCAGCGACGTCACCTTCACGCTGCTGACCCTGGGCCGACTGTATCCGTACGAGGCGATCGACCGCCTCGTGGGCTTGCTAGTCAAGGACCGCCCTTTTCGGCTGCAGGTACAGGACCGTACTAGGAGTGTAGAGTCTGTCATGACTGGTGTCCAGGAGGACCTTGTGTCCGCTGGAGAGTACGAGCATGGACCTCGCTGGCCAGGCAAGCCTCGCGTGCAGTCGTACGTCAACATCAAGATCGGTGGGTCAACTATGGCACCAACGGTCGTCGACGGACTCGAGCTGAGCCCGCGACGGGACCTCGAGCGTTGGGAAAGCGAGACACAGTACGCCGTGTATCTCGAGATGAAGCCGGTCGCGGAGGGCAGCTGTTTCGAGATGCGATATCACTCTTCACTCCTCGACGATACGCAGGCAGGGGCACTGCTGCAGCAATTTGTGGCGCTGCTGGAACGAATTGGCGGGTCTTCGGAAGCAGGGACCGTAGCTGATCTGCTCGACGGGCCGTCGGGCCCGGGGCCGTCATCGTTACACTGAGTCTGTGGTGTATGGAGTCTATGGACTTGTGCGCCAGGTCAGGGGTCAGGGTCCAGTCCGGGATGCAGAGTCGAAGGGATGGAAGGTCCACGCAGAATCCGGTCCGATGCAGAGTGTGATTAAGAACTTTCAGCCGCAGTGAACCTCAGCCGACCACTTGCACAAGCTGCATAGTCAGGATTCGAATCGCTCGTGACGCGACGATGAGGATAGGCTCGACCGGCTTGGGCCGCAAAATGGAACGACACAAACAGAAAGCTTGCCTATGGCTTGTCTCACGCTCGTCGCTGCAGCTGACCCCTCAGCTCGGTCCTTGTCTGACGGTCATCAGCGACACACAGTCCGTCCGGTCTCCGGCTGTCATCGGCTGTCGGGGACGACGGCCAAGGTGAGCCCGACCGACGTTTGCTGAGACAGGCTGTCGTGTAAGTCGCACACGGCGCCGCGGCGAGCTGTGTGCTGCCCCTGTTGCCCTTCGCATTGCCGTGTAACCCGGCTCGCCACAGACAAAGCCCGCCTCTCATCCGCCTTGTCATAATGATAGAATCCTCAATGATGGCCCATGAGAACGACGACGACGTCCCCGGACAGTGGTACTTAATAAACAGCCCGACGATCCACATCCTCTTGCATCGCCTCACTCATCTTGGCAGCCCAACTGAGTTACGTCTGTCTCTTATACACATCTAGATGTGTATAAGAGACAGGTGGTACTTAATAAACAGCCCGACGATCCACATCCTCTTGCATCGCCTCACTCATCTTGGCAGCCCAACTGAGTTACGTCGTGCTTCCGCGCTGCGTCTCATCTCCGACCCATCATGGGCGTTCCCGAGTCACCCATCCCGAGCTTCGCGCGGGGACTTGCCGTCGCGGCCCTCCCGACCATTAGCTACTGCGCCCTCGTCGATGGCGATGCCGGCGAGACAGCCAAGCTGCTGTCGGTCTCGACCAGCGAGGGCTTCTTCTACCTTGACCTCCAGGGGGAGGGCGAGCCGGCGGCAACGCTCTCCAACGTCGACCGCATATACCGGTTTATGCGGTCCTGGTTCAACCAGTCGGCAGAGACCAAGCTCCAGAGCTTGCAGTCCAATTACCTAGACGGGTACGGACCAAACGAATCCAGCGAGCTGCCCAGGAACAACAGACCCTGACCCTGACCCTGCTGCAGCTACAAGGCGACCGGGTTCTTTGCTGGGCCATACGACGGCACCCGCGATGCGTACGAAAGCCTGAAGGTGAGTGTGCCGCTTTCTAAATCCCTGGCACGATCCAGTACCTCCCCTCCTGCAACCCCCTGCCTCTTCTTTCCTCCTTCCACCGCAGCCATATCTGATCTCGGTTCACGGGCCGGGGGCTAATGAGCGGTCCGCGTCTACCAGGTCTCGCACAAGTCGCTGGACGCGGCGAGCGCGCCTCTCGCGGCGGACGTCCAGTCGCACCGGGGCCTGTTCGAGACGTACCTGGGGCAGGCCAACGGCATCGCTCGGCAGCTCCTCTCGTCCCTCTCGTCAGCCATGTTCCTGACCGGGCGGGAGCGGTTCGAGGCCTCGCACGAGACGAGCGCCGACTCCAACTCGACGCTCGTGCTGCTGCGCTACCCGTACGTGCCGCCGGCGCTGCGCTCCCAGACGGTCGGGCACAACAAGCACACCGACATTGGCAGCATCACCGTCCTCTTCACCGACCAGTGGGGCCTGCAGGTCATGGCCGCCGACACGCAGCGCTGGGAGTACGTGCCGCCGCGCGCAGGCTGCGCTGTCATCAATGTGGGCGACTCACTGCGCTTCCTGTCGCGCAAGAGGCTGCGCTCGTGCCTCCACCGCGTGGTTCCCGTAGATGGGCAGACGGGCGACCGGCACACTATCGCGTACTTTCTTCGCCCGGACAACCGCGTCTCCTTTGTGGACAGCAACGGGGAGCTCGTCACGGCGGAGCGCTGGCACGACGTCAAGTACGAAGTGTTTCGCGCCACGCACGACGAGCAGCGCCGCGATACGGTCCTCACGGGCGGGCTGGAGCCTGTGGACATGGAGGCACCTGCCGCGGGCTGAGGGAAGAGTAGCGGCGTAGGTATCACAAACAGACCGGCCAGGCGGGTCGTCGAGTTTCACGTCAGGGTCGACGGGCAGGGGTTCAGTCGGGTGAAAAGTCGCCGTCGAGGCTTGTCCTATGTAGAGTCAGAGTCAGAGTCAGAGCCTCTTCACACACAACTGTTTCCATTCCCCGAGTGCTGAGCGGGGCCAAATCTCGCGAGCCCCGAGAGTTGTAGTCCGTACGACCGTACGCGTAACCCGAAGCCGTATGATAATATCCCATGTCTCTTG